TAAAACATGCAAGACAAGCTGGCTGATAAGATCTCCCCTCAGTCCTGACTCCAGCAGCTTACTCTCCCTGTGTTCCTGGCAGTTCCTGGAAGCACCTGCAGCTGTCTGGGAAGAAATAACACTAGAAAGACTAATACACAGCTGGATTTGAGATGGTGTTGATTCCTTGGGCTATCTGGACCAAGTCTGGGCTGATTCTCACCAAAGTGCAAATGTATGCAGCTTTATGTCAACGATAGCTGAATTCAAGTGTAATGTGTTAGCCAAAGAGCAACCCCCCCCCCCCCCGTATCTCGTGGTTTGCAGGATTTAGGCACATCCTAACATCAGTCAGAATCAGGGGGACAGAGTTTATTGATTTTACATCAATGATGCCTCAAGAAAAAGAAAGATGGCACACACGCTCATAATCATTTTGCCAAGTGTTTTATTGTGAATCAGCCACACACAGTCCTGGCCAGCCAGGGTTCATTAATGCAAATCTTTACAAAAAAAGCTTAGAAATGCAACATAAAATACAACAATATGTTACATAACATAAATAATCTGTACAAATGTATGAATACACTGAACGTATACAGGAAATTGTTCATTATAAAAATATTGCATGAGTGCTACATAAATGTTTTGCAAGCAGAAACTGTTTAAACTGCTTAATACCAAATGTTGCCTTTTTCATTAACACAAAACCAGACATTTTAGATTATTTACAAGAAGTTATGTACAAAAATATACAATATTTTTTTTCCTGTTTATTACCTGTACTTTTGCCATTCAGAATAATTTCATGAGAAGAAGGAAAGTGAGGTGTGGTGGTGGGGCTGCACTGGATTTTAAGGATGAGGGATGTACCCAGTGGTGTACTCAGAATGTTTGGGGGCAGGGGCAAGAAAAATCTGAAGGGGCACCTGGTGTGTTTGACTTTGAGGGCCTTATTTCTTAGACACAAACTTATATACCAACATACAGTGTTGGAAAAAAGTTTGGAATATTTGTCAATTCAACCCCAGCCTCGTGTTTAACGCGGTCTGCTGCTTTCTGGAGAATTATTCAAAGACTGTTTAATGTTCCCTGGTCTCTGTGATATGTTTTTGAAATTCACATCAAACTATTTTGTTTCTCAAAAAATTGTAGGGCGGACACCTCATGATTCACAAAAAGCCATAGAAACAACGCATAAAATCATGAGTCGGTATTTAATAAATAAACGGCTGTAATTTTAAATTGCCACAAAATACGTGGACCATCTTTGAAAGCAACATCAAACATAACAAGACGATAACAACAATACAGTCAGTACTTTGTGTGACCGCCTCTAGCATTGTACAATGCGCGTACACGTCTGGGCATGCTGGTCACTAGGTTGGTAAGAGTTTCAACCGGGATTTCTTGCCAGCACTGGATCACAGCCTGAGTCAGTTCAGCCACGTTTGTTGGAGGATCATTCACGTTACACGAAACACTGAAGAAAATATTCCAAACTTTTTTCCAACACTGTAACATATAAACATATACTTAAGTAAAAACTGCCAACTGGACCCTTTATTTTTACAATTTTATTTTCCAGAGGGCATTTTGTCGACATTTTATTTAGTAAAAAGAGACTAGAGGGTTATTTCTGGGTGCTCTAGGAAGATTTTATTTGCTAAAGAGAAAGTCAAAGGCACTTTGTTTGCACTGTTTTTTTTTTTTTTCCTAAAAGAGCATAAAGAGTGTATTTTGTATACATGTCTACTGAAAAAACTGTAATAAGGCACTAAATTTACATTCTATTCACTACATCAACAAATGGGATACTCTGTTTGTTTTTTGGTTTTTTTTGTTTTAAACATTTTAGTACTCAGTACGCCCCCTTACGCCTGGTTCACACAGGAAGCGCCGCGCGCGGAACGGAAGCGCCGCGCACAGAGTTTCAGATCGGCACCCGTGTTAACCTATGAGACTGTTCACACAGCTCGCGTGCGGAACGGCTCGCGCTCTGGAGCGCGGCCGCTCCGCTTCTCTCTATTTTTGGCGCGAGCCGCGCACGCCAATTGTAAAGCTGGACAGAGCAGATCGGACCAGACAGGAAGTCGGAACAGGAGATGTGAGAGAATCCGGTCAATTTTCAAAATAAAGTAAATTTCAATAAATTAGAAAAAAAGGATTTACGGTGTTGCGTGTCGGTCTATTTTTTACCCATGAACACACACATACACACACACACATACACACACACACACGGAGGGACAGCTGCAGAGATTCAGTGATGTTATTGAGACAAAGGAGGGGGACTTTATTACGATACAGTCAATAGCCTTGAGCTAACAAGGCTACACATACAACGGAGTCAACAGACTCCCCAATTTATTCGTTGTTTACCCCTATATAATAATTTAAAACAATACTTGAAGATGCTGCCAATATTTAATTTATGTATGACGATATAGAAATGTTAATAAATATTGATTTATCCATTTTTAAAGCGCTCGTAAGTGTGGAAAACTGCGGAAAACTGTTCCGCGCGCGGCGCTTCCTGTGTGAAACACACTCACACGGTGCAACATACTCATGTACACCAAAGCCTGGAGTGACAGTGAGAAATGAGCGAGGAGACAGCGTGTGAATGAGTGGCATTACGTGACCAAAATAGGAAAAAAAATTATCCTTTCAGCCCAACCTTTTTCTTTGAACCAAAGTTTGAAAATTAAGTTATTCAAAGAATTTAAGTTTTTCAAAGTCATTGGGCTCTATTTGCATGCCACGCCGGAGACGTGGCGCAGGCGCGGCGTAAGTCAGGTCCACCGTGCCGACAAGGTGTTCCCAAGCATATTTTGGTATTTTGGTGAGCGGCGCAGCCCGGCGTAAGTATCCCCCCTCCCTAACTCAGCTCCTGCCAGCTGCATAAGTCATAGGGAGGGAGGAGAGAGAGCGTGGAGTGGGTTTAACACAGCTGAGACCTGTATCGACCAATAACATCAGGCGTTTTGCAATTTTCGTGAAGTAGTCAAAGACATCAAGAGATGGCTGAAGACAGCAATGCTACACGATGGCGACATAAAGCAGCTCCTCAACAAGTGTCGCTGTAAGTGCTGCAGAGGGCGTCCTGCACACTGTCTTGTATAAGCACAGATGGATTTGGTGTGTGTAAGGTTGGACCCACTGGTAAGACAAACACCCTTTTCCACAAATAAAGACACTAACATAAAGTTGCACATATTTAAACCTCACGTGACAAAGGTGGGTTGTGCGCACAGATCACAACATAAACTCCAATAATGGCATTAAAATTGGAACCATCTGTGCGTAAATGACGCATCGCGCTCCATGGCCTGGCTCTTTCTTTCATAGATGTTGGCACATAAAATAAATTTGGCTCACAAAACTGAATATTATAATATTGGTATGTAGGCTTAAAGTAAATAACTCATCTGATCACTAAAATAAATCATCTGTTCAGCCGCCGCAGCAGCAGCTGCAGCTGGACGGGGAGAGGACACGGAGACATGTCCAGGTCAAGCTGCGCGAGAAATAAGAGGAAGAGGAAGATAGAAAAGGAGGGAGACGAATTACATATCTTGTTAACTTCATCATGTGTGTCTATTTACTAGATATTTAATTTAATGCAGATTCAGCAGCTGTGTTAATTCGGTCAGGTTGAGTGTCCAAACGTGTGCCAAATGCGCTCATCAGATCAGAATATATTGATATAGATCTAAATGTATGTGCAGACTGAGATTATTAGTTGTTGTTTATTATTTATTGCACTGAAATGTGCCTGAAACTGTGGAAACCTGCCGGTGAGGCATCTGTGACGTATGCCGATACACCAAAATACCACTAGACCAGCTGCCTTCTGCCTGCGCTGAAAGCTGACCAGGTTTGAATCAGCGAGCTTTCAGCGCACTTGACACACCGGCAGCGAGCACAAAAATAACACTGTGCCAGCTGATTCTGTCGACATCTCCCCCTACTGCGCCACCACACCCAGCTTGGCGGACCTCGGTGCGCCTCAGTCCACGAAAATACCAAACTGGCTGTATGCCGGGCTCCACCAGATGAAAATACCACTGCACGGAGTCCACCACCCTCCGCCGCATCCCCAGTGGACACGAAAATAGAGCCCTTTATGTTAACTGTGTTTATTGTAATTTTGCCATCGCTAATGCATAATGTTATAATAAATGTACAGGGTTTCCCTTACATTTAATTGATCCTGAGTTCAAAATTAGTTTTTTTTTTTAATGTGGTGCTACCTGGAACTCAGTATTTTTCAGCATATGCATCGCACAAGGGTGCTGCACCACGCCCCTTTTGATGTGAATCTTTTTATACCTTTATTAGGGACACTAAACATTATACCTTGTACTTTTTTTTAATTAATATGGAAAAGCATAATACCCCCTCTTTAATCTTCTACCGTCTCTGAGAGATGAGAAAGCATGAAATCTACAGTCTTTTCAGAGGAAACTGTATTCAAAAAGTCTGTTTCTTCAGTGTGCTGTTCTAGATAAAACTCCCTTAAGATCATTAAGATCCTCTTGCCTTATTGAAAAGGCAGACTCCAGTAAAAGTAGGTTTGAGACAGAAGTTACTCTATACTTATTTTTGTCTTTGTGTCCAGTTTGGCTAAATCTAGTGTGTTTCAGGGGTTGTTAATCTGTCTCGGTTAACTCAACTGTTAGTGTATCCAGGTATGATGTCATGATATTATGTCAGCACTGGGTACATCTCAGCCCAAAGTAAATATCACAGGTGGCTTTAGCTTAGATTTTGGAAAAGTAAGGCAAAATGCATCCAAAAGTATTATTCATAGAACCTCCTTGGTAATGTCAGACTCTTGTTAAATCATGACTAAACTTGGAGGGGAAGCCTTGGGTGAAGTCATGTTACACTTTCAGTGTCTTTTAGAGTGTTTTACTGGAGCAATAAATGTAATTACAGATTGTAGTATGATAATAAGCAGGTTTATAAGATGTGAGGATCTCATGTTTGATGGTTTTGTCCTTTGGGCTTAATTTTTAGATGACTGCAAATACTCTGAAGGCTTTTCCAGCTGTCGGGTTCAGCAGGCTACGGAGAAGAAAAAATGGTTAATTATTTTAGATAAACTTATCAGATAAATGACATCTGTCTGACCAAAGCATCGGTGATTAAGAAATTAAACTTGTACTATGATAAAAATTATGTTAAGTTAGTGGGGGTGTAATGATTTATTTAAACGATTCGATTTGTATTCTTATTCGTGGTTGCTGATTCAATTCAAGGACAATATTGGATTATTTACAACAATACGATCTGAAATGATTCAGTAACTTGAAACCAACTCATTAACTTTTAAGTCAAAAACTCAACCAGTGTATCAAATAAATACCTGGATACTGGACAGTGCAGGTGAAATTTCCTAGATTACTGTTGTTCCTTGTAAGGGAATCAGGTATAAATTAATTACAACAATTAATTGCAAATGCATTCACTTTTTTTTAATGAAGTGCAACTGCCAGTCCAGGTTGAATTCACAGGAAATTCACCTTTTCTGTTCTCAATTTAACTATTCAATAAATTTTGAATGGAGTAAGTGCATCCATCATTTCTACTACTTCTGCTTTAGTTTTTCAATGCAAAAATAATACAGTATTAATATCAAAAATAAAGTGCAACCAACATCTCTTCAAGATGAATTAACAGTAGGTTTCCCTGCTACTTCTGCTTTGCTTTTCTGCATAGAAATAATTTAAATTCAACATACACTGGACCGCAACGATGGCTTAATAATTTCTTGCTTACTTCTCCTCTGCCATCAGCCATGCTATGTTTTGTTGTCTGCTGACATGTGGTGATGACCTCACAGACCAGTAGATTGAATCGAGTAACGCTTAATGTTTTTATTATTTAAAGTGAAAAAAACTTACAAACAAAAAAAACATCCATGTACAGTCTGCCGTGCTTAAACCTTTGGGTTATTTCCTAGTATTGATACAATCAATTTATTACATTTTAAAATGATTTTAGATCAATATATGTTGTCCAGAGATCAATTTAGTTCGATCATAGGACTATAAATTGATACAAAGAGGTTGTAGATGAATCGTTACACCCCTATAAGTTAGGTAAAATCTGCATTAATCAAAAATATGTATATTTGCCAAATTTTGTAAAATTATTTTCTTCACTCTAAGACTGTAGACTGTACCTCTCTGAAGTGATGCCATTCTGGTAGCTACCAATGTACTGCCTCCTTCGATCCACGGGCATCACATCCAGGTACCCTCCTGACCCTGTCTGAATCACTCCTGCATGAATGGCTGCTCGGCAGATGCTGGATTTCTGAAGGAAAATTTGATTTTTAAAACAAAAACTAAATTAGGGGCTGGGGTTGTTGAAGCAGGCACGCTATGTACAGAAGCTGCAGCCCTAGTTGAAGCAGTAATGGGATCAGTTCCTGGTCACACCCCCAACTCCCATTCCTGTCCTTCAGATGCTCTTCTGTCAAAATATATCCCCCCAAAATCTCCAAATCTAGGGCCATGATGTCACAACTAGCAGACTGAGGGACCAAAGACATTTGTGCGACTACTTCTCATTGATTTCTCCTCGTCTTATAACGGTATACCCCCATTCACTTTAGCAGAGTGACTTAAGAGTGTTCATAGCATCGACCCCAGCCTGATAAAATGGTTGATGAAATTCTAGAATAAATGAGTGCCAAAGTCACTATGAGGAGCAGTGCATAATTGTTATGTGTTCTTGAGAAATCATGGGGCAGACTCTCCCAAATCTGGTCTCACATTTCCAGAGAGAGGACACCTAAGAAGGCTGGATGTATCCTGGCTGATGATAGCCACCAGGACTAAGAGACCAAAAACTTATTTGTCCCCGCTGCTGTTGGCTTTTTAAATGACTAATCTATTATTTATTGTTTTAGTGTCCAACTTTTGCACTCATTGTCTATCTGACTTTTACATCTATTGTCTTGTTCGGTTGAATGCTTGTACTGTTTTTCATGTTTTTGGATGTGGGGGGACACTTTGGTGCTTTCTATGATATGCCAAGTCAGTCTGCAGTAAATGGAAAAGATCAACCAGCTTTTTTTAAACCATAAAATATAACCTGCAATGATCAGCAACAACTCACGTCTGAGTAGTATTTCGACCCAATGACTCGAGTTTGACTGTCCCGTAAACAGTTCCTTGGACAATAAAGCCTAGAAAACAAACAAAGATGAAGATAAATCCATCAATCCATCCATTTTCTACCATTTATTCCTGCTGGGGGTCGCAGGGGGGCTGGAGCTTATCCCAGGATCTCTGGGCGAAGGCAGGTGAAACCCTGGACAAGCTGCCAGTTCATCACAGGGCTGACATATAGAGACGTACAACCATCAACACTCACATTCACACCTACGGGCAATTTGAAAGTGGCCAATTAACCTAACCCCACTTCTGTATATTTTGGGGATGTGGGGGGAAACTGGAGTACCCGGAGTAAACCCACGCAGACACAGGGAGAACATGCAAACTCCACACAGAAATGCCCTTACCCGGATCAGACCCAGGACCTTCTTGCTGTGAGGCGACAGTGCTAACCACTACACCACTGTGCTGCCCATGAAGATAAATCAATACATCTTATTTAAAACTACTTTTTTCCTTGGTAATGCTAATCACATCAGATCAGGTCAGGTCATTTTTATGTCTTTCATCATATACAAGGCATATCGCTGAGGAAAATAATCCCTCCCAGACATGATACTAACAAAAAAGTCCAGATTTAAAAAGTCCAACAGTTACAGTTTTCTTCAATTGCTTTGGTGCATTTCTCACAGGGAGAACATACAAACTCCTCACAGAAAGGCCCGTACCAGACAAGTGATCTGAAAACAAGAACCTACTTGGTTTGAGGCTACAGTACTAACCTCTGCACTACCGTCAAGTTAAACACATAACAACAACAACAAAACACTAATCTGTCTGCTATTCTTTTTTCTTTTTTTTTTTTTTTAACTGCTTACTTTTTGCTGCTTCTCATTTAAAAGTGATAAAACACTTGAGGTCATAAATTGATAAAAAATCAAATCTCATGAATGAATTTCCCTTCGAGGATAGGTAGTTATTCTCTTATTCTTATAATGTTGTTTTATCAGCTGATATTTACACCAACATGACCAACAAAAAAACACATAACATACAAACTTTTTTGGAACACGTTTCAGGCATCAAATTCAAAATGAGTGAATATTTGCTTAAAAAGCAATCTAGTTTTTGGTGCATTTCTCAGTTTAGAATTCAACTTCACATAACTGTTCGTTCGACCTCCTCAACATCGAGTCATTTGTGCACATCATAGCAGCAGTTTCTCATTCCTTACATCAAATTGAAATGCTTTCAAACATGCTCAATTGCTTTCATACAATTCTCTGCTATTTTGTAACATTATCATTTGCCTATGTCATGTCAGTCAAATTAAACAATACTTCTGAATGCTGGATAATCATTCCTTATAAAACTAATAGTCACATGCTTCTGTTCAACCCAACAATAAGATGCTCGAGTCAGCACTGCTCACCTGGGACAGTGCCTTACAGGTTTCTTGAAGGGGCAGAAAAGTGCCACGGTGGTATCACATGTTACTGCCTTCACTGTGAGAAAACAAAAACACAAGTTTTTTTTTGTTTGTTTGTTTTTTCTTTGAGCAGACATTTTGCTTTATTAGTGTCAGCATCAACACAAATAATTCAGTGTGTCTTACCAGGTACTGAATCTACTTTAAAGGAGTTCGCACTCCTGTTTTTCCTGTGAGGTAAAAGAAAACTAAAGTCAGCCGAGGTCTGTATCACTGGTTGAACAAATCCAACAATTGGAACTACACCCAGAGTAATACTTTTACACGGCTATCATACTTTAAGCTTTAAAAATAAAAATGATTTGTACCCCAGAGACTGAACCCCATTTTTGTAGGATTTGTTGAATTGCTGTTTTCTTCCCAGTCTGGTGACATCCAGCCACCCGCCATCATTGTCAATAACACCAGAGTGTAAAGCTGCACCACACACACTGGATTGCTGCAGTAACACACAAAAACACAATATGAACACAATATAGGAACAAAATTTAGGTTATGATGACAGAGCCACCTCATGAGGTATGTTGTACTCTTACCATGTCATAATATCCTGTTCCAACAACTTTTCCAGGCCTGTCAAGGCAGCCAGGCGGACACTCGTATCTGTGACAGCAACACAAATAAATATGAAAACAGCTTAGCACCAATGTTTTCAACAAAAGCACGCAATGCTACAACTCCCATCTATTTATGTTCACTGTTTCTGAAAACTGAACAAATGATATCACACATCATGTGAAACCCCACAGTCACAGTGTCACCTCACCTGTTACATGTGGTTCCTTTGCACTGATCTCTTAGTTTGGTCTCACACTCCACTTGTTGGCCTGTAAAACAAACAACATCTAAGTTTTTCGAAACATAACTTTGATACAGTCAACGTTTAGTTTAGAGCTGCAGTCCTCTGTTTTGCTTTTTTTTTTTTTTCTTTGCCATGCAGAAACACACACCCTGGAGCAGAGGAAGAGTTTGATTTTGATCAGCCCATAAGTATTCTGTATCATTTAAGCTGCTTTTAAAGAGCATGCATGAGATCTTTCTCTGAAATCTTAATGATACAGAGACAAGTTTTTGTTCACTCACTGACTTTCAATGTTCAGACTGACTCTTGAGTAAAGCTGCTGCTGCTCCTCAAATATTCTTCCCCTCTTTATGATAATCTGAATGGATCAACCTCTTATTTGTTCATAGTGAGGATGGGCGAGCCACATTGACTTTAAACTGGAGCAAGAGCAGGGTTCTCCATGGACAGACATCCTCAACAAGTTATCTAACTTTAACCTGTGGGTTGAGTCTGTTTTTCATTGAAATCCATCAACATTATTGAATAAACTTCTTATCTTACCAGAAAGGTGGTCAGTGCCTGTTGTGGCGCTAATACCCAAGCTTATTGGTGGACACCAGCTGTGAGGGGGGCCATCAAGCTGAAAGAGTGTCCTATCAGGCCTTGTTGGCCTGTGGGACTCTAGGGGGCAGCTGACCAGCGAGCCAAACATAATGTGGCTTTAGTGGTTGCTGAGGAAAAATGCCCAGGTGTGGGAGGAGTTGATCCTATACTTATATTGTTTTAAGCCCTGGTCCAGGAGCCGGATTTTAAATCTTTCTCAAATACCAACAATTTACTTCAAATTAGAGATGCACCGATTAATCGGCCGCCGATTTAAAAAGCCGGTTTTATATCCAACCGGCCCCAACCGGTGACCGGCCGGTCACTGTCGTAATTTGCCGGTTTTCCCCGAGCAAACTGACCCGCATGCGCTGTGCGTATCAGCTCCGGGCAAAACTGCTAAAAATTAGCAAGACTCAGGAGGAAAACATGTCGTTGATTTGACACTGTGTGCCAGAGCGACCCAAAACACGCTGTTTGTAATGCTTGCAAGTCAAAAGTCAGCCGTGGAGGATCAACGCCTAAGACATTTGGAACAACAAACTTAATACGTCACTTGGAAAAGAAGCACCCAGGCTTGTTTAGCAAATATAAGGAATACACTGCCGCTAAGAGGAGGGATGCAGCAGAGTCGCAGCGACCACAACAACCCTCCGCCGTGGCTCCTATGTTCGACATCAACACTGAAAAGTCCAAAGCCACCACTAGGAAAATAATGGAGTTCGTGGCACTGGAGGACCAGCCGTTTAGCGTAGTACAGGATAAAGGCTTCGTAAATCTGACGAAACACCTGAGTCCACGGTACAAATTACCAAGTAGGGTGTTTCATCAGATTTACGAAGCCTTTATCCTGTACTACGCTAAACGGCTGGTCCTCCAGTCGTCACTGACTTTAAGTCACTCTGTATCCAGCAAATTATATATATATACATATCAGTGTTTTCAGACATGTATGGAGATGCATCAACACTGCAGTCCATGTGTTATTTATTGTTATAAAGTTATACTGTATAATATCCTGTAAGTGATCGATAAAAGACTTTAGTTGTCAACATCACTCCAACTTGAATTTCCATTTATAAGCAATAACCAGCATAGCGGAATCCTCTCCATACCTAATTGAATTAATGTGGACTAGACTTTATGCTGATCAATGTATGGGACTGTCATGGCGATCGTTGCTCTTCTTGCTCAAATTGTGTGCAGGCTACAGATTCACTTATGCATACTCTGTTTCTGCTGACTGTTAGTCCTTTCAGTATATTACCTGCTTCACTCGTCACTTGAGAAAGTGAAAATTTTATTCATCAATATTTGGACATGGCTGAATACAATAAAGGCCCCTAAATAAGGACAGAGTGTAAAATGTAGCCACTTCTGTAGTCTGCTGTGTTGCAATAAAAGATGAGTACTTACACATCTGTTCTGTGCTCACAACCTGGTTTCTCTCCACGTTGTCATTCGAGGAGGGGTCTGGTGTCCGTGCTTGGGGCTGGGGCTCCCTGTCCCTCACTGGCTCTGGTTCAGGTTCAATGTAGTTTGTCTCCTCAGTCTCAGGAGCGGGCCGCCTCTCAACACCTCCCTCTAAAAACATGGAAATAGATTGTTTGTGGTGTTGTCTCATCAGCTGTTTCCTTTGTCTCTAATGTTATAGGGAGGGTTCACACATATATTTGCATTCAAATAATACACAGGACATATAAAACATGACAGAATAATGAGGAGTATCTGCTATGTTACACTGTTTATGCCTTTTAAACTTTTGTAGGGACAAAGGTAAGCAAGATAATGAGAAATGCCAGGACAAAAAAAAAGGCCCCAAACCCACCTTTGTAGCAGAGGTTGTCTCTGCAGCCTCCACCATAACTGGCAGGACAAGCAGAACAGGGAGCTCCATATTTGTATGGAGCATGACCCCACCAGTTGCCCCTGAAAAGAAGTGATAAAATTGTTATTTCATATTCAATATATTAACATTTCACCTCTTCTCCTCTATTATTGATGAAAAGGTTGTTACATATTCACAAAATCTGGTTAAAGCTGGGGCTGTACATTCAACAATATTGATAGTCTAAAGCCTGTTCCTTTTTTCCTCCGTCCTTCATGAAATTTGATTTAAAACAAGATCTCCATCACAAATTACGGTCTGAAGAAAAGATTCTAACATATTTTAAAGACAAGGCTAAGTACAAGATAGTACAAGACAAGATAAGTACATTATTGTTGTATGATTGATTGGGGGGGGGGGGGGGGCATATCCCAGTTTAAACTTACGGAGGAGAGTAGTTGCAGACCAGATAGACTGCTTTGGCCCAGATCATCCCCCACACGTTCATGTTGTAACAAACATTGATGGCACAGCCGATGCGGTTGCTGGTTGCCCACACCAACTGAAAATTGAAATGCAAATGAAGTAAAGCAGGGGGTAGACTTGTCACTTTGGCTGTTGCCTTCAAAATCAGTGTGTTTACATGCACAGTTAAGTTGAACTATGATCATAGCTTGATTCAATGATTAAAGGTGGGGTAGGCAGGATTCCATTAAAGAAGCCTCTTTTTTCGTGGTGTATATACAAAAAACCTTTTAATGTCAGATAGTTATTAGTTATTGACGACATTTGGTAATATAATGATATCAGTGTGTTTTGTTATGTCTGTGTAGTCAGCATTTTAAACTTTTTGAGTGGCCCACTTCTGACTGTAAACAAAGTCATTCTCCACCTTCCCGACCTGATTGGTAGTGAGGCAGACACTGTTCCTTGTGTTGTGAGGCACTCTCCACGTCCTCCAGTGACTTGCACAAGCCCAAAGAAAGTTCGTAACAGAAATGTTTCTTGTCAAACATGACTTGTGTGTTGTAGCGCCGCAAAACTGTTTACCTCGGGTCCTGGACTATGTCACTTCATCCAAGTTGTAGAAGTCCTGCAAACATTGTGTTTGCCGGTAGTCTGTTGGCATCTACAGTAGCACCAAAGCATTTTACTTTCACGTTGACTGGGCCCCATTTGTAATTATCTGAAGTAATTATCTGCATTATATCTAAATTTATGCAGGAGCGTCTGTTTGTGGGTGGGGCTTGCTGGAGCTGAGAGGGAGGGGAGAGGAGGAGCTGAAGCGAAAACTGGTTGGGAGGGGTAGTGTTTACATTCAAGATGTCTCCCAAAAACTGGCACTTCCTCAGATTCTGCCTACCCCACCTTTTAACAGGACTACTATCTCTGTCTCTGTTTACAAGAACTGAGCAAGAATGAAATTATTGATAGAAGTAGGTCTACCTTCACTTCACTTAAGTGGTTGGTGGCATGTTCCCTTTCAGCTAGTTACTACTAAGCAGCATAGACTGTATATAATGAGCAGCCACCTCTAGTTTTAAGAAATGAAGCCCCCCCCCAAAAAAAAATAAATAAATAAATAAAAAAAATAAAAAATAAAATAATAATAAAATAAATAAATAAAATAAAACAAAATAAAATAAATAAGAACCTATTCTCTGTTTGATTTTGTGGAATGGGCCTCAGAGAACAAAACCAGAATAAGTTTAGAAAAAAAAATACATACGTCTTTTGTCAGTAACACAAATTCATTAAAAAAAAAAAAAAAACATCCATAATAACCTAGTATCTTCATCCTAGAAAACCTTTAAAAACCGATGCCCTTACCTGAGTATAGTGAGTACAAACAGGTCCTGAACATCTAAATGGACAGTGTGGGTTGCACTCCTGGGAGTAGGGATAGCTGTAGTATCTCACTTCATCGTACCAGGCCTGGACATGAAAGGTAGGGGGGCGGTCCCTAAAGTGAAAGAAAAGCTATTACACTGAATCCTATTGTCAAATCAAGTACATATATATATATATATATATATATATACACATACATACATACACACACACACACACACACACACACACACACACACACACACACACACACACACACACACACACACACACACACACACACACAGGTGCACCTCAATAAATTATATTATCATGGAAAAGTTCATTTATTTCAACAGTTCAATTCAAAAACTGAAACTTAACCTGATATAGGTTCATGGAATGAAATATTCCATGGCCTTTTTTCTTTTAACTGTAATGATTGTGGCTTTAATTTAATGAAAACCCAAAATTCAGTATCTTAAAAAATTAGAACATTGTGAAAAAGTTCACTAATTTAACTTAATTATGTCAAACTCTAATCAGCTAATTAACTCCAAACACCTGCAAAGGTTTCCCAAGCCCTTAAATGGTCTTTAGGCCTGGTCCAGTGGCTCCCCTACCATGGGGAAGACTGCTGACCTGAAAGTTGTCAAGTGAACTTCACAAACAGAGGACTAAAACTGGAGTCAGGGCATCAAGAGCCACCACACACAGACAAGTCGAAGAATTAGGCTTCAACTATCCCATTCCTCTTTTTAAGCCACTGCTCAACCAGAGACAATATCAGAGGCATCTTACCTGGGCTAAGGAGAAGAAGAACTGGACTACTGCCCAGTGGTCAAAAGTCCACTTTTCAGATGAAAGCAAGTTTTGCATTACATTTAGAAACCAACTAACCCAGAGTCCAGAGTAAGAGTGGCGAGGCACATAATCCAAGTTGCTTGGAGTCCAGTGTAAAGTTTCCACAGTCAGAGGTGATTTGGGGTGCAACATCATCTGCTGGTGTTGGTCCACTGTGTTCTCTAAAATCTTAAGTCAGCGCAGTTGTTTACCAGTTGTTTTAACAAGATTTTAGGGCACTTAATGCTTTCCTCTACTGAAGAGCTTTATGAAGACGTTGATTTCATTATTCAGCAGGATTTGGCACCTGCCCACACAGCTAAAAGCACCAAAAGCTAGTTCATTGACCCAAGGTTACTGTGCTTGACTGGCCAGCAAACTCGCCAGACTTCAACCCCATAGAGAATCTATGGGATATCGTCAAGAGGAAGATGAGCAATATTAGGCCTAAGAACGCAGATGAACTGAGGGCAGCTATGAAGGCAGCCTGGGTTTCCATTACACAGCAGCAGTGCCACAGCCTGATTGCCTCCATGCCATGCCGAATTGAGGCAGTAAATCAGGTAGAAGGAGCCCCAACCTAGTACTGAGTACAACTAAGAGGACATATTTTCCAGAAGACCAACAATTCTGAGTTAAAAAATCATTTTTTTAATTGGTCTGATGGAATATTCCACTTTTTTGAGATACTGAATTTGGGTTTTCATAAAATATAAGATATAATTATTACAACTAAACAGAATAATGCCATGGAATATTTCAGTCTGTGTCTCATTAATCTATATAAGGTATTATTTTTACTTTTTAAATTGAACTGTTGAAATTAATGAACTTTTCCACAATATTCTAATTTATTGAGATGCAACTGTAAATACACACAGACACACAGACAGACACACACACACACACACACATATACATATATACATATATATATATACATACAGTGGATATAAAAAGTCTACACACCCCTGTTCAACTGCCAGGTTTTTGTCATGTAAAAAAAATTAATCATGATAAATAATTTCCCAACTTCTTCCTCCTTTAATTTGACCTAAAACCTGTACAACACAATTGAAAGACAAACAGAAATCTTTCAGGGAGGTGAAGTAAAAATAAACAACTGAGATCATGTGGTTGCATAAGTGTGCACACTTTAATAACTGGGGATATGTCTGTGTTCAGATTTAACCAATAACATTCAAACTCAGGTTAAATTGGAGTCAGCACACACCTGTTACCAATTAAAGTGCATCTGATCAACCCCAAATAAAGTTCAGCTGAAGAATGGCTTCACCGGAATGAGATTGAGACTTTGGAATGGCCCAGCCAGAGCCCAGACCTAAATCCCATCGAACATTTGTGGGGTGATCTGAAGAGGGATGTGCATAGGAGATGCACTCGCAATCTGTCAGATTTGGAGCGGTTTTGCAAAGAAGAGTGGGCAAATATTGTCACATCAAGATGTGTCACACTGGTAGACTCCTACCCAAAAAGACTGAGTGTTGTGATAAAAGCCAAAGGTGCTACAACAAAGTATTAGTTTAAGGGTGTGCATATTTATGCAACCAGGTTATTTTAACTTTTCTAGTTTTTATTTTTCCCCTTAATGTCACACTCTGCTGTGTTTCTCAGGCTGACTCTCACTCACCTCCCTGCCACACCTCCTCATCAGCGCTGATTCCCCACACCTGTGAATGACAAGCTGCAGCTCCTCACTGCTGATTAGCCAGCCAGTATTTAAGTCACTCTGTGTCCCTCATTCAGTGCCAGGTTGTCTTCGCAGCATGTACGACTCTCCAGCATTATTTCTCGGATTGACTTCTCGGTTTCGACTCCTGCTTGTCTCTGACCACGTCTTATCGTCTCAGCCCTTGGATCCCCTGTCAAGTTTCTTCGCTCCGGTGAGAAATTCAGATTTCGCTGTGTTGCTGGCTTCCCGACCTACTGCCTGTCCACGACTATCCTTCCGTCTGATCCCTCTGGAATTAGTCTGCCCCGCTGATTGTCTGCCTGGATTCGACATTGCCTCCGCTTCGACCACGAGCCCAGCCTGCCCCTCGACAGTGCCGCTGCACGTCGCAAAGACTGTCAGGTGTAGTATGTTTTCCGTGTGCACTCACCTTTCTGCCTGTTGGACCTGTTTCCTGTTGGTCTTGGAGATTCTACAGAGACTGCTAAATCGATCCCAGTATTTTCAGTTCCCTTCTGAAATACCTGTCTGCTGTAAACTGTTGCAATAAAAGTAGCTTCTAAACAACTACCTGCCGTTGTGCTGCACTTGGGTCCTACATCCACACCCCTTTGACACTTAAAGGTTTCGGCGTGTTTTTCAATTGCACATTGTACAGGTTATAGGTCATATTAGATGTTAAAGGTGTGAAAATATTTATCTTGCTGTCATTTTCTTACATCACGAAAACCTGGCAGTTGAACAGGGGTGTGTAGACTTTTTATATATACAGGCAACAGCAGCCTATATGGGGTTCATGTGGAGGAGAAATTACACAAACATTTTTGGGAAAAAATGCTAAGACATGATTTCCATCTACTGCTACATTTTCTGTAATGAATGCATTGAACAAAAGAAAATATGATGTAAATAGAGAGCTTTAAAGCTTCTGTGAGGAACTGAAGAAACAACTTCAAGAACCTCAAACAAATCCAGTTACCCTGTCAAGGAAGAATTGGATAACTATGACCTGGATGACCTACATAGACACTTTGGTTTGTTTTTAAGGCCCCCTATTATAAAAACCCACTTTTGGGTGGTTCTCTCCCAATAATATGCATCCCCTCAAATCTGGCAGCCCCTCCAACATTGAAAAAAATTTCATTCTCTCCCTCTCTTGCTTTCCCCTCCTTTTTGAAAACGTGGGCTGATGGAAAAGCTGTGCGGTTATGACAACATAACTGCATAAGCCCCTCCTACATGTTGGTGGCACCCCCCCTTAATCCTTAGCCCAGTCCTCTAAAACTTCTTCGCTTAAGCATACACGCTCCGGTACAGCAACCATGTCGAAGCTTTGACCAAGCTGCTGCTTGGTTCTTGACTGCACAAATGAAGGCATGGGTCAATTTCTGCCTCTTTTGTTGGAAGATTTGAGGACCCAGAGGATTAATTTTAGTTTTGATGGAAATCGACCCACAACAACTCCGAAAATCTTGTATGTATGCTAACCATTTTACCACGGATTCACTAAGAAGCTGAAGATAAAACCTGGATACGTGTCAGGGACCCAACTTCGAATGTGGAAGCTGCAAGTTTTACCATTTTATGTTGCTTTACCGCCACCCATATGACTAGTGCTTTGGCTGCAATTCCATGTGTTTACAATCATTGGTATTCGTTTTTGGACTCGCTTATATTTACTTTTATTCCCGTGAGGAGCAGGTGTTCCTCTGGGGTTAGGAGGCAGGCTGGTGCTTCCAGGCGCGGTGGTGTGAAGGTCCTCTGAAGAGGTCCTCAGAGGACCTCCAGACCACTGCTCCTGGACCACCGTGGTGGTGCCGGCAGCTCAGAGTGGCCTTGGGGAGGAAGAGCGTGGTTACACACAGCTCATCGTCATTTAAAAGTACAGGTGCAGAATCAGCCCGTTCTCAGTGGAGCTCAAAAAGAGGGGGTACAGGCTGGCTGATATCCACAAAGAAACTGGTGTTTTGGACAGACTTCAAATTTACTATTGTGGGACCTCTGGGACCAATTGAAACTTGATGAAAAATGCCATAATTGGAGACCTTTAATGTGGTGCCCCCTTTGGCTAATTCAGTTTTTGCAATTTTTTGGCCTCTTTATGTTTTAAGTAGTTATTTTTAACAAAAATATATCATTGTGCTGACATCAAAAGTTATGATATATTAAGAATATTTTACGAGGAAACAATAAAAAGAAGGCTACTTTTTCAGCTGCCGACTGACACTTAACCCTTACACCCTTACATTGGTTTCAGGCATTGAACATTGGGATATAAGAATCATCCATCTTGTCACCAATCATTTCCTTTTTCTTTGGATATCATTAAAGAGTATATAACAGTCACTAGTAAGGGAAACAGAAATGCCACAAGACAACTTCTGTGACCAGGCAAAGTAATTGGTTGGGGGTTGTGACTTTCACTCCAAGTTAAAATAACACAAAAACTCTATTATTCTTACCACCATGACATGATACACTTTTCTTTTGAATGTTTCCAGTTGTAATACACACCTGCCCCAGTGTGCTCCGAGGTTTTGACCTATTTGTGTCAACATGTGGCTCGGTCCATGTTCCCATCGGCAGGTATGTGCCCAGTGCTCTGCACTCCTCTCTAATTCATAATCCCAAACCTGTATATAGCACGCATGCACACACAGAGACAGAAAGGCACAAAAAAATATAGGTTAGAAGGATGTTTGCTACAGATAAAATCTAAAAGGCCAGGTCTGAGGGTCAGCTGGGGTGAGTCTCCCGTGTTTTTTTTTTTTTTTTTTTACACTTGAGAGCTGCAGGGAGCATAAGCTGCCTCTCTGATGTCCACTGACTTTTTTTTTTTTTCCAAAACAGCTTTGCCTCTGACTGATGTTTGCAAACATGCAACTCCACTCTGGATACCCACATGAATAAAGCAGACTAAGTGGCCATTTAGCGTAGTAGAAGCATTGATTGCAGCTCATTAACTTTTTTTTTTTTCTTTTTATATTCTCATCATCTTCTCCCATGGGAGTTAAGTAACCACAAATTCCACTAAAACTAACCTGAAAGTAACCTCACATTCTGAAGGTAAGGTGAACCTGAGAAATGAACCTGCTCTTTGCTTTAAAGTACAGTACCTGTACACACACCTCTCGCAAATTTAACACAGTATAGCCAAAACTAGGCCTCTCCTATTAAACACACACATCCACTGTCTTACACACAGACACATACATGAGAGAAGAGGGAAACAGAGAGGTATCACTACCACATCAACTTGCGGCCATCCAATGTGGTTGTTTCAGAGCTGTTTTCCAGTAAGTTTTCGTCTCATAAAACAAGCAAGGATAGAAAAAAAACGGTCATGAAAGCAACCAAAACAGAGCGCTTTTGTTCTACTTTACTGTAAAAACTTGATTTGAAAATACCTGAGCACAATTTCCACACCTCTTGATTTGAACAAAGCAGGAAATCATACCAGGGCAGTTGAATTTTGCTGTTCAAATGCTGTGGCAAGAGTAATATACTGCAGACTTTAGTGGGGTTGGAGAAGAATGAGTGCAGTGTGTTCCACTGTTGGCATTCTGTTTGGTTGCATTATAGCTATCACACATCAAAACTAATGGGATAATGCTTTGGTGTTGGGTTATAACTGCTATGATTGACTACCATAATCCATTCCATATGTTTGGTACAGCTAACACACTGTGCCCACTGTTGCCCACTCACTCTGGTGCTGTTTATTGTTCAGGCCTGACTGAGAAAGAGATATTTTGACTTCTTTGGCCACAGTCCAGCTGCGGCTGTGGATGTAAACACTGCAGCAAATTTCTGCACTAACCTCCTGCATGCTTGCCATATGATATTATATATACCCATCATAAAAGATTATATTGTTGTTGTTGGGTAGAACACTTTTCAGTACAATTTAGGGGGTTGTGTACTTTGTGTTTATCTTGAGATTGTTCTGTTGGCATTATATGGAAAACTATTCTCAGCAGAGGGTTTTGTGTGTTTCAGTGAAATTGAATCCAATGACGGTTGTCTAAGACACTGAGAATTGGTTACCTTTTCTGGTCCTTTAGACCACAAACATGGTGAGTTAGAGTAATATAAGGGGCTATTCTGGTAAGAGTCATAGACTGGATAAAACATAATATTGTCTCACTGTTGTTTCCCATTTGTTGTGACACCCATTAGAGATGGTTCCCATAATAAGCATGCTGACACAACCTAGTTTTCAGCTGAGGGGGGCCTTTAGTGCCCTTGCTTACAGCTACGGTGTACCCACCTGCCAGCCATACTGCAAATAATTTAAAACTTATGATCTACAAAACCAACCAGTGATATCAAAAATGACCACCCTTGATGTGTGTGTAGATAGAGTGATAAGGTATTCAAACCAAAACTGTCTTTTTTTAAGCAGGTTGGAAACATTTTTCTTTTGCCTGGCCTTATTTATGGCTGTCTACGTGGCTTCTGATGCCTTTACTGTGCATCCTCAACCAATGAAGGGTTGGGTTATTGGACTAAAACAAGGAACTGATAATGGATGGATGAATTGATGTATTCATAGACAGATTAATGAGGACTGATGGGTCAGCTGATGGTAGATGGATGGATTGATCAATGGAAAGATGGAGGGATGGAGAAATGGAGAATCAATGAATTGATGGATGGAAGGATGGGTGTACAGATAGATGGATAAATACAAGACAACAGACAGAAAAAATAATGGATGATGAAGATATGAAATGAAAGATGGATGGAAAGATTGTTCAATGAATGAATGGGTAAACGGCCACGTGGGTGGATGCATATTGAAAGGTTGCTGGTTAGATGGATGGATGGATGGATGAATTAAGTGATGATGACATGATGGATAGATGTAGGTGGATAAAAAAATGGATCAATGCATGTAAGAATAGATTGATGGGTGGCATGACAGATGAATGGACTGATGGATGGATCAATGCGTGGATAGGAAGATGAATCAATAGATGGAAAGATATATGGATCATCAATGGTGTGATGAATAGATGGATCATTGATGAATGGAAATATCTATAGAGCAAGTGATGATGTAAAAAAGAAACCAAAGAAAATGATCACTGGATGGATAGACCAATATATGAAGCAAGAGACAGATGGAGGGGAGAATGGACTAAAAAAATGGGTTACTGAACTGGTGGATGGATGGATGGATGGATGATATAAAGATGGACTGATCAGCAGATGACACCATCTTTTAACAAAACATGAGGAGGACTTACTGAACTTTTTTCTAAACTCAATTTAAAATTATTCACACAGCTTTTTTTTCCACCATCTGAGGACAACCTTGAATTTAAAGCTCTGCTAAAAGCCCACTGAACCCCAAACCCTGCTTTCGAATAATACTGTGATCCTCACTTTTACAGGTAGGGCTCTATATTCATGCCTCGCCGGCAGCGTGGCGTAGGCGCGGCATAAGTCAGGTCCACTGTGCCGATGAGGCATGCCCAAACACCAAACACTTTGGTGTTTTGGTGTGCGGCGCTGGAGTTGGAAAGAGGAAGGGGATAAGGCGTGGAGTGGTTTAACACAGCCGAGTCCTGTTTTCACCAATCATATCAGCTCCTCTCCTCACCTTTAAATACGCCACTGGCGAGGCATATCGCAAATTTTCGTGAAGTAGTCAAAGACATCAAGAGATGGCTGAAGACAGCAAAGCCACATGATTGCAACAGGAGGCAGCCACTCAACAAGTGTTGCAGTAAGCATTGCAGGGCATCCTCCACACTCTCTTAAATAGTAGGGTCTGTTAACTTGAAAAAATGGCCAAATCGTTATGCGGTGGATAAAAGCACCAAATTTGGTATGCACATTCTTTAGGGTGTATCTCATCATCTCAGAAGGGGTGCCCAAAAATTTGGACCCATTAAATGTCTTTTAAAGGGGAAAATCCAAAATGGCCGCCAGAAATGAACCATAATTCCTAAGATGTGGTCTAATTCTGAAATTTTGGCTTAATCTGCTAATTATAGATTTTCATTTATAGTAAATCGACCAATAATAAAGGATTTGGCCAAAGCCACCCAAGAAAAATGTGTAAAATATGTTTTAAAGACCTTTTAAATGAGAATAAATTGGCTTAAAATGTACTCTGAAAGACATGACTTCACACATTAATCCTTCTGTGAGTGATATATTGTTGATGCCAGATACAAAATTGTTTTTCAAAATACTTCTAGTAGGCCCTATGAATGATTATATATAGGTAATATATTGTGACAAATTTATATGACCATAGATCCAGCACTCATATACTGTATAGGCACAACTTATTTTTAAGCCGAGACATAGCAGGTGACTGGTGAAATCAAAGACACTTGCATTACTAGAAAGATACACCTGTGTTCTGTACGAAAAGACAACTGACATTGAAAATGTCAATGGCCTAAGAAAGGACCTGTTTGCTAAGAAATCTCTGCCAATGGAAAACATTCCTTCGACACAGGCTGCATTGCTACGGCATGCACATCGAGCAGTTTATCAGTCTAGGATTTGGTTCAACAGCTTAAAAGCTATCCAGTCTCTACCATCTCCTGACAAATTTGGATGGACCAAAGTCAATGATTTGTGGAGACCGCTATGGACACGATTGCCAGAAGCTGCCAAAGTTTGCAGAGAACTCCTTAAGTGTGGCTGCGAAGCTGAGCCCCTCTGTTCTTGGAAGTGTCGATGCCGGGATGCTGGATTACCTTGTACAGCATTATGCCATTGTGCTGGTAAATGTGAATGGGACATGTGAGTCACTTCGCAAAAAGATAAAGAATAAAAGACGAAAAGAGGGGAAAAAGACAAAACAACAGACAGACAGACAGACAGACAGACAGTAGCATGCCCACTCAGGATGGGTTGAGAGATATGATGACAGACAGACAGACATGAAGATGGATGGATGATGGATGGATGGATGGATGGATCCAGCCTCAATGGGACACAATTCAGATAGATAGATAGATAGATAGATAAATAGATAGATAGATAGATAGATAGATAGATAGATCCTAGGGACATATGTGCCAAATAGTATGCTTCTCTGATATTCAATAGGCTATTTGAATCAATCGGCAACACTTTAGGCGGCCATTTTGAATTTCGTCAATAATCCACTTCCTGTTTTGGCCACTATTTCAAGGATGTCTCAGGATGACCCAAGGGTCACATGTGCCAAACTTTATGATTTTTGGACATTCTTTAGGTGTTTTTGGAGTAAACTGTCACCTGTTTAGGCGGCCATTTTGAATTTTGTCAATAACTCACTTCCTGTTTGACATTTTTTTGGGCACCCCTTCTAGGATGTTTTGGGATGACCTAAGGGACATATGTGCCAAATTTCATGCTTCTATCCACCGTGTAACAATTTTTCACCAAACAGACCCTACTAAAATAAGCATAGAGGGATTTGGTGTGTCTAAGGTTGTACCCACTGGTAAGACAAACATCCTTTTCCACAAATAAAGACACTCACATAAAGATGCATTTATTAAAACCCCACATGACAAAGGTGAGTTGTGCGCACAGTGCCAAGGACGCATCATGCTCCGTGGCTTGGCTCTTTCTTTCACTAATGGAATAAAAAATGAACTTTGCTCATGCAACTGAATATTATAATATTTGTATATGTGGGCCTGAATCCAGATTGAATATTCACAGAATTTTAAGGATGTGAAAACATTAGATAAACAGATGGTTTTGAATGAAAGTTTCTTTTATTTTTTTGTTCAAATTTTCGAAGTTCATAACTCATCTGATCACCAAAATATCTGGTCAACCTTGCTGCTGCGGCAGGAGAGGGAGAGGGAGAGGACACAAAGACCTGTCCGGGTCGAGCTGCATGAGGAAGAAGAGGAAGAGAGAAAGGGGGCAGGGCAAGAACTAAATATCTTGTTAACTTCATCATGTCTGACTGTTAACTGAATATTTAATTTAATGCAGTTTCAGCTGTGTTAATTCAGTCAGGTGGAGGGTCAAACAGGTGCCAAACACGCTCATCAGATAAGATATAGATCAGAATATATATTGATATAGACCTAAATGTATGTGCTGACTCAGATAGTTGCACTAAATATTGGTTGCCGTTGATTATTTATTACACAGCAATGTGCCTGAAACTGTGGGATTGAATCAGCGAGATTTCAGCCCACTTTCTACACCACCGGTGGGCACGAAAATGTCACTGCACCAGCCGATTCTGTCAACACAAGTGTCGACAGAGCCTGTAGTGTTGATGAAATAAAGTCCACACATAGCATTTTCACTAGTATTTTTTTCTCTCCCTATTTTTAGTGTTGGTACTACTGATCTGTGCCAGCTCATTATTCTTGACAAATTCTTGTTATTTCCACCCTCAATTATTCAACAGAAGAAAATGGACCACCTGCCAGCCTTTGAAGAAAGGTCATAGACCAATTTCCTTTTGCATTCCTGAAGACATTAACTATCCAAAATGAAGACCTATTGCAGCCATCTGTCAAAACCATTTCTTCTCTATAACTCAGTAAAAATGTGCAATGCTACAGCATTTCTTTAAATCTTTATGTTTTACTTTGGGAACAAGACGCATGCAAAAGTTTCACATTGAAATGCTTGTGATTTAACCAAAAATCTAGACAGGATTTATCACAATCAGATGCAACAGCACTTTAAAGACCTTAACCGAACAGCCTTTTGGAGAAAATTTTAAATGTTGAAGTTAAATGTTGAATCTCTAGGGAAGTGTAGCTCCTTTGGCCTCCAAATCCTGAAATTTGAAAACCAAATACACAGTCCTGGTCTTACCACATCATTATCATCTGTAATAGTATCCCTTGCTAAAGAAACAGTGGATTAGTATACATAACATACATTTACACTACGCTGCCTCTCACTTTAAACAACCAAGCTTGACATGTTTTAAACAGATTCACTGCTGTGGCACCTAAAATGAGAAGTGAGGATCAAATAAAACACAACACCAGCCCCCTCTGGGTTTGAGTGAGCTGGGATGGATGGAGAGCGAGGGGGGAAAGGGAATGAGTGAAAGGGTGATGGAGGAGGGTGAAGAAAATCTTGAGGGAGAGCTTGAGAGGCCCTAAAAAGACGGCATGAGAGCAAAGCAAGGGGAGAAGGAGAGTCTGCATATGGAGTGACAGAGAAAGTGGACCCAGGACAGGAAGGGAGGGAAGGAGGGTGGGAGGGTTTAGGTGGAGTGGAGGACAACACTGCGGGGGAGAAAGTTGGATATGGGCCAGGGTCATTGAGGGCGGGCATGCAGGAGGCAAGAGCTCGAGCTTACCAGATTGAGGCTTTGGCTTACAGTTGTACCTCTTCTGTTTTTCCTTTTTCTTTTTTTATAACTCTACTGTGTTTTGCTTACTGAGATAAACTCATGGAGTTAGGTTAGGAAGGTACTACACTGATATATTATACTGGGTGTGTCCAGATTCTCTAGATGCTACATAAGTACACAATTTTGTAGTCCTGACTTGCCTGATACAAGTACAGATACCCTGTCCCCAAACATCGCTGGGTCAACTGAAAAAATGATGCAGATTCCCTTGTCCATTTGACTCCATGTTTGACTTTTTTTATGGCAGTAAGGTAACATAACCATAAGTTAGAAAAATATGACAACAGCATAAAAAGGTGATATTGGGTGGTCAATAAATACATGAGAAAAATAAACTCTTCCAGCCATAAATCCTGAGACAAGAGGTGGTGGATGCACGTTGGAGAGAGCTGCAATTACTTTGATGGGTGGGGTCATGGGCTACAGACTTTCACAAGACAATTACTGGTAACTGCTACATCTCAGTAAAACCAAAGTAAAGTAAATGAGTACATTACTCTTTCACTTTAGCTTTTTGGAGAAATTTTGCAGTCTTCAATTAACTAGATATCACTGTGTGAAAATGTTATCAGAGGCCATATACACACTGTGTTGGGTACTATCGTGCATTGTATTATATTATATTGTTCCATAATCTATCGCACCCTAACCTATTATGTAAGGGCAAAATGTAATGTGACATAATGAATCATATGATATCAATCAAATTTATCATACATCAAATAACGAACCACATTGTTACAAAATGCATCATATCATAGTGTATTGTATCATAACGTATTGTATCAAGTCCTATCACATATATCATATTATAACATATCATTATCAGTATCTTCTATATCAAATCATGATGTACCATATCATTTTGTATTGTATCAGCAAATTATATAGAATCACTTAAAAACTTATTGTATCATGTATTGTACAAAACCCAATTCCACTGAAGTTGGGAAATTGTGATAAACGTAAATAAAAACAGAACACAATGATTTGCAAATCCTTTTCAGCCTATATTCAATTGAATATACAACAGAGACAAGATATTTAATGTTCAAACTCATAAACTTTTTTTTTTTTGCAAATAATGATTAACTTTAGAATTTGATGGCAGCAACACGTGCCAAAGAATTTGGGAAGGGTGGCAAAAAATACTGAGAATTTGAGGAATGCTCATCAAACACCTATTTGGAACAGCCCACAGGTGAGCAGGCTAATTGGAAATAGGTGGGTGCCATGTTTGGGTATAAAAGCAGCTTCCTCCAAAATTCTCAGTCATTCACAAGCAATGAGGTTCAATGAGGTTATGGGGCGAGGTTCACCACTTTGTGAACAACTGCATAAGCAAATAGTCGAACAGTTTAAGAACAACGAATTTAGGGATTTCAACATCTACGGTCCATAATATTGTCAAAAGGTTCAGACAATCTGGAGAAATCACTGCACGTAAGCGGCACGGCCGGAAACCAACATTGAAAGCCCGTGACCTTCGATCCCTCAGGCGAGACTGTATCAAAAACCGATATCAATGTGTAAAGGATGTCACCACATGGGCTCCGGAACACTTTAGAAAACCACTGTCCGTAAATACAGTCCGTTGCTACATCTGTAAGTGCAAGTTAAAACTCTTCTTTCCAAAGCGAAAGCCATTTATCAACAACATCCAGAAACGCCGCCGGCTTCTCTGGGCCCGAGCTCATCTAAGATGGACTGATGCAAAGTGAAAAGTGTTCTGTGGTCTGATGAGTCCACATTTAAAATTGTTGTTGGAAACAGTGGACATTGTGTCCTCCGGGCCAAAGAGGAAAAGAATCATCCGGACTGTTATGGATGCAAAGTTCAAAAGCCAGCATCTGTGATGGTATGGGGATGCATTAGTGCCAAAGGCATGGGCAAGTTACACATCTGTGAAGGCAACATTAATCCTGAAAGGTACATACAGGTTTTGGAGCAACATATGCTGCCTTCAAAGCAACGTCTTTTTCATGGACGCCCTTGCTTATTTCAGCAAGACAATGCCAAGCCATGCTCTGCACGTATTACAACAGCATGGCTTTGTAGTAAAAGAGTGCAGGTACTCGACTGACCTGTCCAGACCTGTCTCCATTGGAAAATGTGTGGTGCATTATGAAGTGTAAAATATGACGGAGACCCTGGTCTATTGAACAACTAAAGCTGTACATCACGCAAGAATGGGAAAGAATTCCACCTCCTTGTTAAGGCTCTTGTCACATCATGCATTGACTATTGCAACTCATTACTGGCAGGCCTCCCTGCATGCACAGTTAAACTTCTTCAAAGATCCAGACCATAGCTGCATGTCTGGTCTTCAACCAGACCAAGACTGCTCATGTCACTCCTCTGTTCATCTCCCTACACTGGTAGCTGTTCCTGCAGTAGCTCACATCAAATTCAAAACGAAATGTTATGAATATAACTTTTGTTCCCAGAAGGAGAGGAACGAGATGTAACACATATAGTATGGGATATCACGCCCCTGCGTGGCCTGACTGAAGACACCTTTATTCACACCTTTAAGGCAGATGATCTGTGGTGACATCTGGGAGGCTCCGCCTGCACATATATACATGTAACACCACAGTCATCCTTCAGTTCGATAGCCACTCTTCACCGAGCCTAGCTGCGCAGTGCGGCAATCCAGTGTTGCACCTCGTTCACCTCCTTCAGAGAACAGAAGTTATATTCATAACATTTTGTTCCCTTTCAGTCGATTCACTTGGTACAACACATATAGTATGGGACATATATACACGCCCCACAGAGCAGCCACCGAACCGAAGTCAAACCTCCAAAACTTTTAGTGCATTGTAGACCCAGCAGAATGGACAGAGTGAGCCACTGAAGGTGCTGTCACATCCAAACGATAAAACCGAACAAAAGTGTGCAGTGATGACCAACTGGCTGCAGTGCAGATATCACCCACAGAAACCCCTTTAAACAAGGCCCATGAGGCCGCCATTCCCCCGGTTGAATGTGCCCTCACACCTTGGGGCAACGGGAGACCCCTGCTGCCATATGAGATAGCCTCCACAATCCAGTGGGAAAGCCGCTGCTTAGACAGCGCCTTCCCCTTGGCTGGATTAGCAAAACAGACAAACAACTGGTCACATAAACATACACTTGTACACTCTGAGTGCGGTCTATGTAAGTACGTAGTGCACGCACAGGGCACAAGGAATGCAACCTCCTCTGCTACTCAGGTGCAAATGGAGGGGGGCAGAAGCTGAGCAGTTCAAAACTCATAGAGCTATAGGCTGTGAGGATAATCTTAGGCAAATACGCTGCAGTTAGGCGCAATGTAACCTTAGATCCATCCGGAGTGAACTGGGTACAAGAGAAATGCACTGAAAATGCAGTTGCCGTCTAATCGGACGGAACTAAATTGTTTCGTTTTCGATGGAGACTGTTTCCATCTAAAAGTGGCCTAAGTTGGACCTTCAACAGGTAAGCATGTAGTCGACACAATTCTGGGCGCGGGTGAATCACCTCTCCTCCCGCCTGGGAGAGGAGGTCCCTGCAAAAAGGGAGCTGCCAGGGCCTCGCTGCCAGCAGACTGATTATCTCTGCGTACCACGACTTCACCGACCACCGAGGAGCCACCAGGTTCAGGGAGAGCCCCTGCTGGCACACCCTCTCCAGAACAGACAGAATCATTTCCACCGGGGGAAATGCATATAGCAGCGTGTTGGGCTATGGGTAAGCTAGTGCATCCAGTCCCAGGGAAGTATTGCAGTCTGTTATGGAAAAGAACAGGGGGCAATGAGTATTTGCTCTGGAGGCAAAAAGATCTACTTCTGCCCTGCCGAAGCGGTCCCATATCTGAGCCACCACTAGTGGGTGCAATCTCCACTCTCTCACAAGAGGACCCCCCTGGAGAGAAGGTCCAGCCCAAGGTTTAAGTGACCCAGAATATGTGTGGCTCTGAGGGACAGAAAATGAGCACTGCACCATAGCAACAGACAGTGAGACAGTTTTAACAGGGGAAGAGAGCGTGTCCCTCCCTGCTTGTTTATGTAGGAAACCACGGTTGTGTTGTCCGTCCTGATCAGAACATGATGGCCTGTCAGAACGGGACGAAAGTGCTTCAGAGCTAAAAGGGTAGCTAATAGCTCCAGGTAATTGATGTGGAGCTTGCATTGTGCTGCGCCCTCACACAGAGGGATGTGTCTGTGGACACACTTTGGCGGCAAAAACTGAAGGGCGGCAGTGTCTCTGTGCTGGTGGGCCCCCTCTCGAGTTGAATCTGAAGCTAGGATGACTGTTGCTTCTTCTTCCTGGGCACCGAGTCTCTCTGGAGTCTCGGTGGCGGACCCTTGTTCCAAGCCGAGGGGCGTGGGTTCTGACCGGGTACATGCCGCTTCACCGGCTGGGGCCCCAAACTGGCGGTCACTGCAGTCCTCTTGGGGGAAGGTGCCGGTGCCGGTGCGTGCTGATAACTCTGTTGTTTGGGCCTCGCATCACGCCTGGGGATGATGGTTCTCAAATTTTTGGTTTGTTTCTTCCTGAGCTCAAACTTAGCCTGAATGGCATCAAGGGACTGCCCAAACAAACCACTGGCCGACACAGGCTCGTCAAGATAAACTGCTCTGTCCCTCTCTGGAACGTCGGAGAGAGTCAGCCACAGGTGCCTCTGTGCCACCACCGTGGAAGCCATGACTCTTGAGCCGAGTTCTGCCAGACACATAGCCTGATATGTCTGAAGCATGGTGACGGAGCAAAGTGCATGGGCTGTACTTGCCTGTGTCCTGTAAATCTTATCCAGCTGTGATGCTGAAAACCTGCAGTGCTTGAATGGGAGTGTGACGGGGCCACCGACACCATAATTTTGGGCCAGGGCCAGATAGGCTGCCATGGACGCCTCCATAGGCGGAGGGTTCACCAAACCAGCTTTTCAGCTCCATCCAGATCCAAAAACTGTCCACAACTGGGCACTGTGGCGCGGGTGGACAGCGGCTTGTTCCATGTCGAGGTTAGTTCCGTGACAAAATCCGGGAACATGGGCAAACTGTTCTTTACAATCGTCGGTTCGGGTGGGAGAAAAAACCCAGAGAACCGCGACAGTTTTTGAGCCGATGGAGGAGAGGGCCATTCTACTTCCAGTTGCTGCACGGCGGTACAGTGAGAGGAAGGATGTGTCGTCCAGGTTAACCGGTGCAGAAGCAGCGGTGTACTGACCCGAAGACAATGGCTCCTGCTCATCCTCCAAAAAGCCCTGCACGTCCAGGCCAATGTCCAGCACGTCATCGTCCTCCTAGTAACAAGCTAGCCCGGATGGCGGCTGGCCAGCGCCCTCAGAGGGGCCCGGCTAAAATCCAGCTGACCCGTCAGCACACTCCACATGGTCTGCCCAGTTTCCAACTGAGCCATCGACCAGAAAGTCCTCACCACCAGGCTCGGACGAAGCCGGGTCCCTGAACTCGGAAAGGAAGGGATTGTGCAGCGCAACAGCGTTTTTTCCTAATATTTTCTCCACAAACTTGACCGGCCTTCCCAGGGTCGAGCTCCCAAGCCGGTGACAGGACTCACACAAGCCAACGCCCTCCTGGCATGGACAATCACCACGCAAACGTGACAAGCTTCATGGAGATCTTTCTCGTGGAGGGAGAAGCCGCACCCCTGAGAACAGGGGCGAACAGAAGACTTCGCCTTCACTTTCATGGGCTCAGCGCTCATTACAAGACGCAGAAGCTGAACGAAATTAGTGCTCCGCGGGTAGCCGCAGGCTAACACAAACAGGGGCAGTTAAGCTAAAATGGATCAGGAAGTAGCCACAGACAAAACAAGCCGAAGCTAGCAGCAGCTAGTTAGCCCGACTCGGTGGAGGTGTTCTCAGCGAGGTAAAGAGCGTAAGAACTGAAGGATGACTGTGGTGTTACACATATATATGTGCAGGCAGAGCCTCCCAGATGTCACCACAGATCATCTGCCTTAAAGGCGTGAATAAAGGTGTCTCCAGTCAGGCCACGCGGGGGCGTGATATCCCATACTATATGTGTTGTACCGAGTGAATCGACTGAAAGGGAACTTTAATCGTTACTCACGAAGCAGTAACCAAAGCTGCTCCTGTTTACCAGGAACCCCTCATCCAGGTCTGTGCTCAGCCACAGAAAAGCACCTGGTGCTTCCAGTACTTCAAGCCCCAAAGTCACTAGCCTGACTCTTTTCTACTATAGTACCCAAATGGTGGAATGAATAATCCGACTCCATTTGCTCTGTGGAGTCTGCTCTACTTTCAAAAGACAGCTTAAGACCCAGCTCTTAGCTCGACTAGTCTCCACTGTTGCCTCAGTGGTTGAATGAGTCTTCAGCTACAGTTGACTCACACATCCTGCTCTACTTCTGGGCTTTTGTGCCCAGTTCTTTGTGAGTGACCCAGTACTTTGTACTTTGGTCATTAGCATGGTGAAGACAATTTTAATTTGATGGTGATGATGGTTGGTCTCACACTGACAAATGGCTACTTCATTGTTGATGTTATAAAAAAAAAAGATCCTCAATACACTTTGTGCATTGCCTTTAACACTGCTGGTTAGTACCTGCGTTTAATTGGACCTGAAGCACTTCGTTGCTCTTACTGATCTTGTTTCCTCTTGTCAAGATCTTTGCTTGTTCTTAAATGTATGTCGCTTTGAATAAAAGCATCTGCTAAATGACATTGACATGACATAAAAAATAAATAACACATGAAGAAAACTCTAATAAGTGTTTTAGCCACAATGGTTGACAGTGAGCTTGACCTGTATTACTGAGAATCTGCTAGTTGAAACAGGACCCAGAATATGCTACCATTTTGGCCGACAAGGATAGCACATAGCCTACTCAAGCAAATTTTGAGAGTCCCTCAATCACACCTCAATTTAAGTTACACTCTATCTAGAAGCAAGTATATATAAGCTTCCCACACCCTTTCCCAGTCAGGAGCAATAAGGCTTGCACACACCTGATTTTGCTCTGTGCTGACTCCCTGACCACATTCAACAAGTGGACCGAAATAAGTGGCCATCACATCACTGTCTCAGCAGGGTAATCGTAGGCAATTAGTGCTTGTCATCATGCAAAACTGAAAGGCAAAATTGTTGGTGGTGTTGGTTTCGTTTGCTTTTGAATCACATAAAAAGGCATCAATTAGGGTTGCCAACTGTCCCTTGTGAAACGGAATGAAACAGAATCATCCTGTATTTAGAAACAAAAGTACGCATCCTGTATTGAGCTGAAAAGGGACGCATCTACTTAAATTGTTTCTCACACATAAAAAAATTCACCATACCGGGAGGGAAAGATGAAGGCAAGTGAGGTGTTCCTCATTTATCTTCAGGGAATTGGCAACTCTAGCATCAACATGACTTCCAGTCTATTTCATGCACAACAAAAAACTCCTCACATTAGTGTTAATGATCCATGCATGGAAGGGTTAATTAAGGGTAACAATGCCTGTATGAACTGTCTTTGTAAATAACAAATCAGCCTATCTACATGACAGACAACCCTATCTTGAGCACCTACCATGTACTCCATGTTGGAGGCAGGGGGGTGGACCTCACCACGCAGCTTGTTGTGCAGGTTAAGGATCAGGTGCATGTCACCCTCACTGATGGCCCTCCTCCCCCTCGACCTGGCCCTCCACCACGCCTCGTCTTTGTCCTTGTACTTGTCCAAGATGGACTCCAGGTGTGTGGAGTTGGTGAGGACCATAGCCAGGGCGGTCTGGGTTAAACACAGGACCAAACTTGCTGCTCTGACCCAGCCAGGGAAAGGAAGCGACCTCTTCATGATGGTGAAAAATACTGCTGATGTATGAAGGTTATTTTGTAGTTGTCTGCAAAAGAGATAAAAAGGGCGTATAAATTGAAATCAGACTGCAGGTTGAGCACAATGCACAACTTATTATGAGCTCAACTTTTGGTCATCTTGTAAGATGAAACAAGGATTTTTCATTACTTAGCATTTACTTTAGGCTTCATTGCAAGCCTTACTCCAGAGCATATCTCCAGGAACCAAAACGCACCTTGAATGCATCCTCTGTCTGCATCTAATAATGCTGTAATTATAGAGGACTTCCCTTCAAACAGTAAGGCTAATACAGCTTTCAGCAGCCTGAGTGCATCTGCAGGTCACTGCATCAGTACACACAGAGGGACCAGTGTAAACTCACTTTCACACCTTGTGTTCGAAAGCACTAGATTTATTGCACATGTGTGAGTTACTGACTATGTGAGCTAGTATACTGGAAGGACACTGCAACATTTCTAGGCTGCAATATTTCAAATACATCTTAAAATAACAAGAACAGTGAATGTATTTTTTCAAAAACTGCTTCCAATAAAAAAAGAATTTCATGATTCTTTCTTTAGGCAAGGAGATAACTTTTTGAAAACAAGACAAGGCAGTTCAGAGTTGTTTGATATTACCTTCAAATTATGCCAAACTGATCAAAATACTCCCAGCTGCAATAATCCAAGTGCCAGCTTTTTTTAATATTATTGCAGAGCAACAGTTTTCCAATCCAGACAGGCTTTAATTCCATCCATCACACAAAAATGAGAGCAGGCAGCCGGGTTTCTTTCAGGCTGTACATCCAGGCTTAAAGACAGGGAGCTCAGAAATGCCTATAGGTACCTGTTGAATTCCTCAGCTTGCTCTTTGCACCACTGGCTGCATGGGACTGCTGCTCATTTTGCGCTTATATGCCAAATTGCGCTCAGCAACGAGCAGCACTCAGGACCACGCCTCCACAAACCCTCTTTCTTTCCCTCACCGCACCCCCATCTGATACACACACACACACAGACACACACACACACACTACACAGAGGCCGGCAGGGATCTGTAGGAACTCCAGGGTTGATCTATTTGAGGAGACATCTGTTCGCACAAGAAGTGACGTGAGGGTAAACTTGTGGATGTTATGAGAGCAGCCCACTCCAGTTGCAAATATTACACATTTTGCTTACATTCTGCAGGTTTGTTGTTTGACAGGAAGACATGGGAAAGGCAGAAAATAGGCTACAGTCTTTACGTCTGAGGGTCTCTGAGGCCATATAAGGCTGCACAGTGACTGACAACAAAACGATTCAGAGCTTTAGCTATGTCTTCTTTAGTCCTGACATCTGTGTCATTGTTTTGTCTGTATAGTAATTCATTCAAAGCATTATAATATATCTAATGTTGGAACACAGTTCAGGGTTAAATCTGCACAGCTTTTGCACAATCAGTCAAGAATGGTGATTATAGATTTTTTTTCTTGCACAATACAATGCACAAATGTATCAGATATGCTGTTGATGAGCTTCTATCTATGATTGGTAAACTCGTCCAGGATCACATGCTGCGTGTGAGAATGGAGCAGCAGCAGCAACCAGCAGGGTGGCCTGTATTCCCCTTTGATACAACCGCAAAGCAGTGATTCATATGCCTTTACATACACTGGAATATTTGTGAAACTCTGCAGCCTGTGTGCATGAGTGCTTTCTCTCTCTTTCTCTCTCTCTCACAGCAAGATAAGGTGAGATCAGTCAGTTTTGTTTAAAGTGACGGCTTATGTAAAAGTTATGTGATAAAGTGATATAGATTGATATGGTAAAAGTAATGCGTTTTCATCAGGACAATGCAAACGTCTAAGGTACAGGTTAATAGTTTGATACATATATTATACTATAGAATCGTTGAATACCAAAAAAAGTTAATATATATTTTTTATTTGAAAAACCAACAGTTTCCACATAGTCCATGCTAGTTCTCAGCAATATGGTGGATTCACCTACACAGCAGCCAAAAACACAGCCAATGCAGCATCTTTATATTAATGTCTACAATTGGGGCAACTTCAAAATAGTAGGGAAAAAAGGATTCTGTGAAAGGAAATTTGATCTTTTTTTTAATTTTTTTTTATGAGTTTTATTTTATTGATGTAACACACAATAACTCAACAAAGACAAAAGGGACACAATGCATCTCTCCATAAAGCCAGAACAAAACATCACACAAGTAATGCCCTTCCCACCTCCATAAATCATAAAACCAGTTCCCACCCTACCCTTTCCCACCCTAACATTTATAAGGAGAAGATGAAAGAGATGGGCAGAATGAGTCAGTTACTCAACATATCAGTGAACAGTTTTAAATGAACAGAGGCATGACTTAATCTAAGGTGTAACATTATTTTGCAATCGCTAGGAGAAAATGAATAAATTGTTATTGTTTATTGCTATAATGATATTCAATAATTTTCTAGTGCAGCCCAGGTTTCTGTGAATTCTTCCTTGTTGTCTTGCACCATGAAGGCTACCTTTGCTAATCTGGTTATTTCTGCCCAATCCCAAACCGCCCCCTACACACTCACCCTACACACTCACCCTCCTTTTGCCCGTCCCTGTGGAGGCACTGTCATATTGAAGGCCGTCCCAAACCACAGAGTGTTCAGGGCGAGTGGACTGTTCAGCCCTCAAATAGCAAGCCTACACTAGTGCACACTTACGGTGGAATTTGCAGGTAGTGCACCGGCAAAAATGGAGCTAAAGGAAATAACATACAAATGTAAGTTCTGTATGTGTCCACCTTTGTCTCACTTCTGTCACTGTAATGGTTGCTGAATTTATGATTTCAGCGGGATAATGAAAAATGAGGCAGCCAGCGCAGCTCAGAATTGTACATGATGCCCATTTACTTAAAAAAAGAAATGCTGCCATGCACAGGATGCGTCTTTATGTTGCTATGGCGATGAATCTTTCTGTTTTCTAGGAGAGTGAGAAGGGCGTCCCATACCATACCATACCACCAGCTGCGAGTGTAACTTCATTACGAGGGACACTCTGTAGTGAAGGGCGAGTGTGTAGGGGGCCGGTTTGGGATTGGGCCTTCCATTGCTTCAGAGACCCAGTCTTTAATGGATGGTGCAGCAGACTCTATCCAATTAGCAATGGTGACTTTTTTCATGACCATACATACAGAGAGAAACTTTTTTATGCCTTGGGGAAACATCATTGAAGTAATGAAGATCTCCAAGTATGCATGTTTTTGGTGTGAGTGGTATGAAAAAGTTAATGTGACTCAGTACTTTTTTGTTATATCAAACTAAATCTCTTTGATTTGAACACAGTCCCACAGCAGTGTTCCCTCTGCAGAGCCACATTTACCCAATTGGTACTGTCCAAAATGCCCATTTTGCAAAGTTGTGAAGGAGTGTAGTAAAGCCTGTTTAAGATTTTGAATTGTGTTAGTTTGTGTTTCTAAATCAAAATGGTTATCTTGTGTTGTTCCAGACATCACTCTATGAAATATTGCTCTCATGTATATTCAGATCCCTGCTCCATAGTTTTTTGCATTAATTCATGATTTAAGGGTGTCAAAAGAGGGTTCTAAGTGGCTGTTGTGCGTTCCTTTGGAAACCTTTTCATGAAATATAGATTTTCTGTGCTAATATTTATATTTAATATTGCTAAAACAGGTTTAATTTACATTTTTCAATGCAAAGAGATAGAAAAAGTGACTGTTTTCAATAAGTGGTGCAAAATTAAACACAAACTTTAAGTTCCTGAAAGAAGCTTTACAATATTCTACCTAAAATATTTCATATTGCATGTGTTGTCCACAGTGTGAATATCTAATCAAAATTTGCTGAGGGACAGATTGAGGTCTAGAAAACATCGTCATAATAAAGACTTTAAGGGCCGATGTTATGATGACATCATGATACTGGCTTGAGGTCAAAAAGAGAAACATTAGAGGTGAGCACAAATCACACACAGGTACGGAGGTCATAGGAGTCGAACAATGTTGTCACATTGTTGGGTGACAGAAAAGGCGAGTGATGCTAATGTCTTATAACTGCTCCTGGCCATCAACAAAAGAATGCTGGTATGTGCAGGCTCAGATTATAAATCATACGTTTACTGTTGTTAGGCTGAATGACATTATGCTTATTAAGATCAGATATTAGTCAGGCACTAAGGGTAACATAGACTCCTGACTCTTCCTTTCTTAGCAAATGGGTAAACAGACGCTCCATGAACACAGAGAATGAAGGAAACGGTTCATTTGTCATCATCCTCTGAATGATTGCCTAATACCAAGACAACTAAGAACTTACAACCTCAGTTTGTAACAAGCAGCTCACAGGAATGTGATGCGGAACTATTTAGTTGTAGTAATCTCATAACACAACAATTTATTAAACATTACTTTACTTACATTACTTTAACACTGATTATTATTATTTAGTATTGTTATTGAACATGAACTGACACAGTGTATGCTAAACTCTTTAATAAGAATCTGCTGCCCCCTCTTGGATAAAAGTTAGACTTTCATTGAAAAAAAACCTTATGAAACCTTTCAAACTGCACCCATGTGGTGGCGCCTATCACGCTGCAATTACTGTAAGCAGTAGACCAGAGGTGTTATGAGTGGGCACATGCAGCAATGAAGACCTTGAGTATCTGCTGTACAAGATACATGAGTCAACTATTGGGAAGATTGCAAACAAGCAAAATACTTAAGCAAAGGTCAGGTTGTCATAATGTTCTATTTGAGAATGATTCAATATAATATGTTTGAAAGATGTCTGTTGTGTTAAAATCTGAAGAAAGATAACTGCCGACTTCTAAATGTAATAAAAATCACCACTTATGAGTTACAATAATTTGTAAATAAGTAAATAAAAAATAAATTGTTCAGAGACCAGCTCTCTCAGACCCAAATTCTCTTGCAGCAAGCTCATATCAAAAATGTTTCATATTCATATCAAATATTTTGATTTATTTCCCTCGTTTGTTGCTCAAATTAGGTGCTAATGTTTATTTTTCATACTAATTTCTCATGTTTGTTACCAAAATGTATTGAGCATAAATATTATTTCTAATTGCTTATATGTTTTGCCAATAACTATTGTTCATATTTATTGCCCAAATTAATAATGTTTATTTTTCGTATATCTTGCACATGTTCACTTTTCATATATTCGGTTTGTGTTTTTTGTTCATATTTAATTTCCTTTTTTATTACCCATAATTGTTGTTTAAATTTTGGTGATTGGGGTGAATGCACTGCAGAACCTTTCTGAGGTATTGTTCCTCTGCAGGTTCCTGACTGGTACCTACTGTCAGCCTGCCATCCGGTCCTTTACGTTCTATATACCTTTCACTCATTTTCTTGTAAGTCTCACTAAAAGTTAATTGTTGACATGTTTGTTGGCCTTGATTGAATGTATTGATCACAGTTAGATAACCATTATTGACCAAAACAAGATTATGCAAACACCTTCATGTCATTGAGCTTTCAGGAGATGAAGAAATGATCAGACCTTAGAGCACAGGCATTCACATATTGAAAAAAACAGACAAAAAAGACTGGTTAAGAGTTGAATCTTTTTCACAGCAATTGTCATATAAGGGAACATGCAGTGCTTAGCTGAGGAAGCAGCCCTCTTGGCCTCTGTTGCCTGAGACATCTGCCCTTCCCGCACAACACTCTCAGCCCTTTTTTTGTCAACATACTATCTTTGCACTTTTTACTTCACCCAAGGGACCACAACACTGCCACGCAGTCCTCCCTGAACTCATGACAGTTGAAGGACTTCACGCACAGCTTTACTTTACTTAACTTCAAGGGGAGTTTAGGATTGGGAGTGCAGCAATGATCTGTCACTCATGTCTACCTTGTGTCTTTGAGTCATTCACTCTGAAAGGACATTAAAATAAGGACAACATGCTTTGATAATCAGGTTGCTGCTCTTTTGCTGTTTTCTGGTAATATTAGTCAGACACTGACTGATAGTGCACCCCACCAAAAGTTGGTCAGAAGGCAAATATTGCAACATACACATAGTGAAATCATGAAATCTAGTAAGCAGCTTTGACCAGTCCTCTGACTCACAGGACTGTGGGTTCAACAGCCAACACCTGAAAACTGCAGACTTTCATTTACATAATGCAACCAAGCAGATCATATCTTATCGACTTTTGCACCTTTTATGTCTTCAGCTCCATGATCTACAGAAACCATAGACTGTATATACTATGGACAACTTGGTTCCGCCTACCGCCTGTATACGCATTTGAAGCCAAAAAGCTCTCGGCATTTCCGGGATTTTTCTTCATTTCCTGAAACCAGCGCTGCGCAGTAGCGATGCACGCATTCGGCCGCACAGTCGCCGAGAGTCACTGTGTTGACGCTCGGCTCAAACAGCGTATCCCCCAGGTGAGCTACGCAATCCCTGAATGCCCATTGGCTGTATCAGGTGTCAATCATAGAAAACATGAACCCCCTAATAACTTTTAAAAATTGAGCTTCACAGAAAAAAAGAGGACTTGAGCACAAAACAGTCTTATTACTACATGTCAACATCACAAGCAGGGGGGAGAAAAATTTATGTTCAGTGTAATAAATTTCCAAAGTTTGTCCACAGCTCCATAAGCTTTGCTGGTGGAGGCAGGATTTATGACCTATACTGCAGCCCATCAACAGAGGGTGCTGTTCTCGGAGTGGCTTCACCCAGCGAGGAGGCAGACTCTGTCCATTCTATATACAGTCTATGACAGAAACCTACAAGACAAGGAACCTCAGGAGCTCCAAGAAAGGTCAAGGTTGCATTCATCTCAGAGGTGTTAGGTCTGCTTTGAACACCCCAGTACTTATTTCCACACAGTCTGTTTTTTTTTTTTTTAATGGTAAAGATCAACAAGCTCTGGTGTGGATCATATATTAATCTAATCATATAAGTAAAGCAGACACAATGTAGTTGGCCCCTTACCTTCTATTTATGCCTGTCTGTGAGGAGACAGGCATACACATGACTGCACACAGACATGTGTAAGGTTAGGGCAACCCTTGCCATTCCTAGTTTGATGATTGTCCAGTCAAACTGTGTTTTAGCTCGTTTCACGACTGCCAGCTGCTCTGCTCTCCCTCAATACTGGACTAATTTTCAGAAATTGTTCTCCCCATCAGTCAAACATAGACAAACACCTGGAAAAAATGGTCAGGACTCATCATGTCTGAAAGGAAGACAGGAATTTTTAAAGCGTATTTTTCAGTCTGAATCCTTTTGATCTGAAAGTGCTCTAGGTTAGAAAAGTTTTTCTTTGTTTTTTTTTTTTTTGTTTTGTTTTCCTTGGGGGAACTAGAGTGGGGAGGCAAATACAGGAGAGATGTGCTTTTTTCCAGGTTCTCCTTGGTACTAGGATTGTAGCATTTTGGATCAGCCAAAGACTTTCAAGACAAGATTAATTAAGGTTGCCTGATAAAAAAAAAAATTACAATAATCCAACCTAGATATAATATAATAATGTACAGGTGGAAAAAAAAAAACTGTCCATGACAGTCGTTGTCAGTAATGTGGTATGTGGTACTTGAGGAATGTCGTAATCAAGAAATTTGAAGCTAAGCTTGAGCTCATCCTAAATTGACAGCGCAAAACAATGAAACACACTTTTACCAAAAGTTCGTAAAATGACTAATCTGATGTCCTTTAAACAGAAGATTACAGATGCTGACAGATTATGGAGTCAGAGGAAAGTATGAATAAAAATTATTTCATGTAGTTAAAAAAAGATGCATCTATGTTCATTCTGTTGTGCAAGGAAGAAAGACATATTTTCTCATGCAGGACAAAATGGTGTGAGCAAAACCAGAGACAACATGCTTTTGTCTCATGCTACTGTTCCTGTCCTTAGTTAAATCTATTAGTCACTACATGTTGATTTTGGAATATGTTGAACTGGGAATTACAGTGTTGCAACAGTATACTCACTATGAAGGCTGTGCTAAGAGTTTCAGTTATTGTGTAATTGTGTGCATAATTCTTCACATAGCTCACATGAACTGTTAGTTTTGGACTGGAGTGAAATAGAGGGTCTACCATTCATCTACGAACCACCTGTTGTTATTACAAGTTGTAATAAAGGAGTTACATTAATAATACTAGAAAGAAACAAGAAAAGCACCACTGATAGAAAATAAGCAAATCATAACATGAGTCTATTAATATCTTAAAAACACACTTTTCTTTGTCTTTCTGCAAACTTATATCAAATCCATCAGTTTAAAGGGGTGGGATTATGCTTTTCCACATTTATAACAAAAAATGTAAAGTGACAATGTTTGATGTCCAGATGTTTATTGCCACTAGCTCAGCTCACCCTGCCTCCGGTAGTTTTCTTAAAGCTCCTTTGTTAATTTGCTAACTTTGTAAGGCTCCTCTTAAAGTCAAGATAATGCCTGCATGAGTACGACTTACTCACACATCCTGTCTCGGACAAGTGAGAGTGCAGTTAAATCAGAAGCAAGAACTTGTCTTACCTGTTTGATTCATAACATTAACATTTTAACATTTTATTTTTGTAGTCTAAAGATGTTCTCAATTTCACCATATTTTGACTACAATGTTTAAAGACAAATTCTACAACTTGGGCATTAGTGTTGGGCTGATACTGCACATTACATGTAATAATCACAATGTGTTTAAGGGTTTTGTCATCTCAGTTTTTTGGACCTGCTCTCACACAGGAATTTCCAAAATGAAAACGGTCAAATATCAGACACTGAGTCACACAGAGGCTCATACTGGTGAATGATCAATCACAGATGTGACGTCAGGATCTGACACCGGATTTATTTGGGATGTTCAGTGGGGGCATGTCACACAAACACAGAGAGAACAACAGAGCAGTGTGGGTTTACCTTGACTGACTTACAAACTCAGCTTATTATGGGGGACTTTTGCCCTACTGATAACCTTTCACACCTCTCGACTCCTGCTCGAGACTTCTGTCCCTTCCCGGACTATACTCCTAGCCCTCTTTTCACCAACATGCTGTCCGTGAACTCTTCACTTCACCTGAGGGACCACTACATGGCCGTGCAGTCCTCCCTGAACCCTGAGCAGCTGGAGGACTTCACGCAGAGCCTGAGAAGAACTTTTGGCAAAGAAGGCAAGGTCAGTTATGGTGGGGTGGGGGTGGTGGCCCTGTCCCTGGCTGTGCTGTTTGACACTCTTGCTAAACAAGCAAAGGGAGAGTGGGTGTCTGACTCAGGACCGGTTCCAGGTTTATTTTTTAAAGACCTGAGAGGTTACTACCCACCGCATGTCTACACAGTCAGCGAGTACATGAGGCTGGTTCCCCATATCGCAAACAACCCCACCAGGATGAGAGCGGAGACAGAGAGGTAAGTCTTCTTTGTGTATTTATGTTCATGTTCTAGTGGCAGTTGGAAATATGACCCCCCGAATTTTCAGGCAAAGGGACATGTCCAGGTTGAGCTGAGCGAGAAATAAGAGGAAGAAAGAAAAGGAGGGAGACAAATTAAATATCTTGTTAACTTCATCATGTGTGTTTATTTACTAGATATTTAATTTAATTTGATGCGGTTTCAGCTGTGTTGATTCGGTCAGGTTATGTGTCCAACCGCATGCCAAACGCGCTCATCAGATCAAATATAGATCAGAATATATAGATCTAAATGTATGTGCTGACTCAGATTAATAGTTGTTAATGATTATTTATTGCACTGAAATGTGCCTGACACTGTGGAAACCTGTCGGTGAGGCATCGGTGACGTATGCCGATACGCCGCTGGTCTACCAAAATACCACTAGACCAGCTGCGCTCCGCCTGCGCTGAAAGATGACCAGGTTTGAATCGGCGAGCTTTCAGCTCACTTTACACGCCACTGGCGAGCACGAAAATGTCACTGTCGACACCTCCCCCTGCCATGCCACCACGCCCAGCTTGGCGGATCTCGGTTCGTCTCTGTGCGCCTCAGTCCACGAAAAATACCAAACTGGCTGTGCGCGGTCTCCGCCACCCTCCGCCACCTCACCGGCGTACACGAAAATAGAGCCCACAGTCATAAGTCATTGTTTTATCATTTTTTATTGCTTGTGGGTGATAGTGTGTAGGCAAGTTCTCTTTCTATGTCCACTTTCTGGGTGTTGGTTAGAAAAAAAACAATGAAACTTGCGTTGCTTGCCAAAACACTTTGTGCCGTGAATACTATAGGGAACTATGTCTCTGTTAATGGGATGTAGCTCTGTGCCTCACAACAGCATTTTTCCTGTGCCCAAGCACCTACCCTTGTATTGAAGAAGAGCAAATTAATAACTTTTTTAAGTCTTGCACCCACGACTGAAACAAGGGACTGATAATTTATGGACATGCAGAACTTTTTAATCCATAATTTGGTGGTCATTGTACACCATACTCACTAGCCTTAAATAAGAACTTTGGTGTCATATACATTTTGAATGTGTTTCTAAAATTCTTATCCAGTGCAGGTTTTTACTTGTGACTGCAGTATAATAGTGTCCTAAGACCCCCTATAGACCAGCTGCCACTGACATGTTCCCTTTAAGAATCAGTTTGTCATTGCACAGTGTGTTCACCATCAGCTGACCCCTTTTCTTTCTCTTCTTATCTTTCAGGTACATCAAGCAGTTAAATACTGATGACCAGTGGCTGGAAAAAAACATGGTCATGGTTCAGGAAGACGTCCCGTTAGAGAACGCAGCTCTTGCAAAATGGTTTTCAAGCAATCTAAAGGTTCACCTCCTCCGCCTGAAAAATGGTACAGTAGATGATCTGGTTCATCCTCGGGAAAGACATCCAACTGTTATTACCTTCAATCTCAACTGTGATGTAGAGACAGCTGACAAAGACTTCAAGGCCCATATTCAGAGATCTGACAGTCACATCCAGGAAGCTTTCAGAAGATACATGACAAATCTGAAGCCTTGGCTGATCCAGGTTGCTGAGTTAGAGTGGATCAACGCCATGTTTCAGCTAGCATGTGACATTGGACTCAATGATGAACAAAAGATTGCACAAAGAGGAGATTTTGACCTGAAGGCCCATGCACTTGGCAAGTGGGAAAAGTAGTACACTGGGGTCATTGTCCTGGAATAAAGGATGCAATGCTGAGGGTGTAAACATTCAAGATTTGACAAAGACTATTACAGTCTGTGTTCACTTGATTGAGGTGCTGCAACCTGCTGTGACTATTTGAAATGACCAGTCTTCTCAAAATGGGGTCAGTGGTTCAAGTAGCAGCCTCAACCCTTTTCAGCATGTTTTCCCCCACTTACTCCACCCCATATTTCCTGTCTTTCTCTTCAACTGCTTGGTCCAATTAAAGGCGAAAAATATAACTTTTATGTGCTTGATAATTAAACCTTGACTTGGCTTGACTTGAAGTAGAACTCCTGTGAGTGAGTTTTTATTTGTCATGAAACAGACTGAAGACAAATACTGATGCAAGTGATCTTTACATCCAACAAGAGGAAGGTCAGGGATTGCTTATCTTAGTATTAAAACCTTTCTTTGACCAGGTTGGGGTTGGACAAACATTTATCAGCGATGAAATGGTGCTTTTTCTCATATTTTAAATAAATCAATCTTTATTAATACAGCACCAATGAACAACAAAAGTTACCTCAAGATTCTTAACCAAAAAAAAGCAGGTCTAGATCATACTCTCCCGTCATACTTAAAAAGACTGACCATTCACATCAAGATCGAGTCTCAACCAGTAAGATCAGACTCACTCTGATCTCATCTTCAAGAGTGAAACCCTTTTCAGCATTTAGCAAGTCACAGAGGCAAGAAAATACTTCCTTTCAACAGGCAGAAACATTGGTTTTGTAACTGAAAACAATGGAGGGACTTATGCTAAAAATTAATATAAGCTTTGTAGCAGCATTAAAATTGATCCATGTAACTGATGAATTGATGAATGTAACTGTAATCACACTGCACAAATGACCTGACTGATTACACACAAAATACATGTATATATATATATATATGTGTGTGTGTGTGTGTGTGTGTGTGTGTGTGTGTATATGGCAGGGCCCGACCGATTCCAATTTTAGCCCGTTTGAGACTAATCAGGAATCGGACAAAACTTCAGAAATAAAATGTGGAGAATAAGATTCGGTTTCACTTTGAAAATGTTCCGCCATTTGAAAAGATCCCCTGACTTGTCCTGTAGATGGCACAGCAATCTCATGACAATCTTGATCCACTAACTACCTCACAGCACAGCAGAGTGACGGATCTGAAGCAGGCAGCTTCAGGGACACACGGAGGAGAGTAGTCAGCTTCAACGGTAAATAAACCAGTTTGTGAAATACAAAATAAGTCAACAAGTTTCAATTCAACCCACTTCACGATGTTCCCTGCTGTGCTGGTCTTGGTCATGCAGAGTTAACGGTGAAGCACCATGTAATATGCAAGCTAAAGTTAGAGTTAGCCATCTGCTATTAGCCTTGCTACACTGTTAGCCGTGCCAGTAACGGTAGAATAAACAACAGTACACATTACGTGATCGAGCTGTTTCTCTAACTGAGGTAGCTGCATGTCTCCAGATGAGACAGGACCGGAAATGTGTAATGTGAGTGAGAATCTTCTTTTTAGGTTCAGTATCTGTTGTTCAGCCACAACTCTGTTGTCAGGCGTGCATGTTTCCTTCTCCTTTGAAGGTAGTCCAATACAATAATGGCCATTGATGAGCCTGGCAGACTGGGAGACAAAATCCAAGAACTGCTGGTCTTCTTTGGAGAGTTCAGGGCTGTCACAAGAACACTCTGGGAAGTCATTTCTAAATTGCTGTTCCCACAGCTCATCCAGTTTCACCACAGATATCCTGTTGACACTTATTCCTGAATGTTCCTGTTCTTCGTCGCTTTTACCTCCTAATGGTCCATTAACTGTCCAGCCAAGCATTCTTTTGACAGTCCATCTCTCACACTTCTGATGACATCCAATGGTTCCAGAGCCTTTGGTACATCTGAACCAATCAGCAATTCTATGTCAGAGTTGATTTCTGTAAGATGCACATCACTAAGGTGAGGCCAATAGATGATGCTTTTCAGTACGGCAACCTTTAGGCGCTATTGAGAGTTTGCAGTTATCCTCACCGGTCCCAGTAAGACCACTTGTCTGCACAGAAGCTACGGCACTGGATTTGGCGGCTTTCTTAGGAAGTGTTTGCTCTTCCTTTTCAATCCTTCTTTGGTGGATATGAAGCATGTTAGGATGCTTTAAACCACATATGTTGCAGCTTAGACACTTCCTACAATCTTTGCTGATGTGTCCTTTACACGGACAGCTGAAATACAACCCTGTTTCCTTTAGGTATGCAATTTTCTCATTATGTGTCCTCACTTCCAATTGTGAACACATCTCCAAATCATGTCCACCTTCACAAAACAAACAGTTTATCACAGCAGAAGCCAAACTCTCCTTTTCCTTAGTTTCTTTATCATTTCTCCAATTTGCAACTGTCACAATGGTTGCAAAGATGCTTCCTTTAGGTTTTGGAAAAGATTGTGATTTTGACTTTCTAGCATCCTTGCTGGTAGTAGGAGTGTTTTTAATGTCGCCAAATACTGGATCAGTCAGAATTTTTACCTGCTTTTCCAGGAAGTCTACCATATTCTTAAAGCTGGCTCTTTGATTATGTTCTTCCAGGAAATTGCAGGCCACAGTTCTTCATTTATCTCTGAGCTGATAGGGCAACTTCTTTATGATGATGAGCATATTGGATGGCATTTTGAGCTTATGCATATAGTTAAGATCTTCCATTGCATTTCAACAGCTTCTTAGAAAAAGTGTGTATGCTTGCAGTGCTTTTGTGTCATCAGCTTTTATTGATGGCCATGCAAGAGCCCTCTCCATATATGCTGCTGCAATTTTATGCCCATTGCCAAAGTGTTTCTGAAGCAGAGATTTAGCCTTTCAGAATCCTCTGTCCGGGGCCATATGTAAGGAGCTTCTCACAAGTTCCCTTTGCTGTCCTCTTGTATATTGCTCCAGGTAGTGAAGACACTCTTGATGGCTTTGGCTTGTACTTTCAATATTTTGTTTGAAGGATTTAATGAAAGTTTGGTATTGAAGTGGCTCACCATCGAACCCCTGGATCTCTTTTTTGGGCATGAAAGAAATACTTTGTCGGTATACCATGGTTGTATTAATAATGCTGTGATTCCATTTTGTTTCTCCATAACTGAATATATGTTGTTCTGTTCACTGTTTGAAGCAGAAAGTACAGCAGAGACAGATGAAACAGGCAATGCAGATGAAGCAGGTAGTATGGCTGGAGATGAAGCAGGCAGTGCATCTGCAGCAGATGAGACAGCAGGCGCGGCTGCAGCAGATGAAGCAAGTGGCACAGATGGAGCAGATGAGGCAGGCAGCATGGCTGCAGCAGATGAAACAGGCAGTGCATCTGTGGCAAATGAAACAGGCAGTGCAGCTGAGGATATCACATGCGGATGTGATGACTTTCTTTTCTCAAAATATGACTCCATACCATCAGACATTTTGGATACATTGCTGTACATACTGAACCCCTTAGAGGCTTCCAGTATCTTTACTTTTTGCAGCAGCAAGATCTGCTTCTAGCTCCAGAACTTGTCCCTTTTTCATCCCCATTATTTCCTCTTGTTCTTCCAAGGCATGCTTATCCTTTAGCATTTTTTGTCTCACAATCAGAGAAGCTATCTTAGCCTCTGCCTTTATTCGTTCAGATGTAGCACTGGATGGTCTGGAGCTGCATTTGTTCCTTCTGCTTCCAACATTTGATATGAATTCATCCTGAATGTCTGCAGTTCCTTTGTTGTTTGATTGGGATGATGGAATGCCACTTTGAACTTTATTGGGGGGATTTTTTTCCTTTATTTCAACAGGTACCTTCTCGGGTGAAGTGGGGGAAGCATTTGATTGGCCTGCAGTTGGCAAACCTGCAGTCTGTGCACCATCTGTCTGTGGAAAAGGTCATCCAGTTTCCAAAAGCCATTGTTTCACGTCCTCCATGAAATCCAAGGTGCTTTTTGTTACATGGTCAAACCATTCACTTTGGGTAACTTGCTCCTCCTTAGGAAGCAATTCCAATACTGTTTTGTGTGCTGCTTTTGCACTTCCATACACTTGAAACCAGTGGCGGCTGCTGGTCTTTCAAGGAGGGGAAGCTCATTTTTCTGGCCTACATCATAATTGTGTTTGTTTATTTGTATGTAACAGAACAGAGTCGCCAAACACAACGGCAGTTGTTTTTAACAAAGACAAAAGTTGCTGAGGATCGGTAAAGTCTCTGGAGCAGTTAAGATCAACAGAATGAATAACTTGGAAAATGCTCTGGTAGATGTTTTATTCTTCAAGATCACTGATTCGCTTGTTTAGCTGTCAATCAAAAAAGGATTTCGCCTCAGACAGCTCATCCAATCATGGATGCAGAAGCTCGGAGTCCGGGAGAAAGTCGGGACCGCCCTCTCACCATAGAACTCCAGAGACGCCGAGCGTCCGATGGGCGGGACAAAGCCCAGCATTTATCCAATGAGCGTCTAGTTTCGCTGCTGGAACAACCCACTTTGAGCTTCCACACTGAAGTCAGCAGAAGCCCAGCGTCCGGCTGTTTAAAGCGCTGAGGCGCTGCGAGGATGAATGAGAACGAAGTTGTGCAGAATGAGCTTCTTATCACACTGTGATAAGAAGCTGATTCTGAACAAAAGATGAAGGCTTTCTAACGCGTATTTAGTTAATGAAATGTACACACAGCAGTACGTATTTCACCACTTTTTCTTTTTTTGGGGGGGTGACATTTTAAGGGAAGCTGAGCTTCCCTTGCAGTCTTAGAGCAATCGCCACTGCTTGAATCGTCATTTCCAGTTTAATTTGCACATCCTTTGCATTTTCATCATTTTTCATGAGCTCTTCGATTTCAGGTATGAGCCCTTTAATTTGTTTTACATTTGTTTGACATTCCTTGTGCAGAGTTACCATTTTGTAAGCGATAGCCTTGGCTGTAAGCTTAACCATTCTCCTTCTTTCCTCCATTTCCTTCATTTTACTTGTCTCACCCCTCTTGCCACCATTTTTGATTTTGCCGTCACTTTCAGCAATAGTCCATACAGGATCAGCAAATTCACATCGGCAGAAACTCATAAATGAACAGTGTTCACAATAGTTCACATAAGAAATTCCACAACGCAGCGCCTTCAATCTCTGCTGCTCGCACCACCAGCACAGCATCACAAGCTGTCAATTTCACCAGCGCGTAATGTCGCTGTGCCCCCAACCCCAACCCCCGACCATAACAACCACAACAATGCAAAACGCATAACACAACTGAACTGGCTTGTGAAACACTGCTGTCAGCCGCTGAGATTTCCTCCTCAGTGGCGGTGATTGTGGCGTCTCC